TACACGATAAGTACCTAGTCTAAATAATGCTTCGGTATCTTTTCGTGTTGGAAAATAAATCTTGTAGGTGAATTCGGGCGGTCAACATTTAAAATGTCCAGCAGTTTTAACCGGGAAAAACAAAAAAAAATGTTTAGGCTCAACTCTAAAAAATGACCACAAATTAAAAAATTTTCACTGAATCTTTATATTAGCATTTTCTATACACTTCCATTTTCGAGTTTGGGGGACAATTCTAACTCATCGTTAGGTGACCGACAAAGAACAAATTTATATAAAATATTACCAAATATTAAAAAAAAAAAAAAATTATTAATTATATTTTTACGCAATTCATAATTTATTTTTAATATTAATATTTTATTTTAGATTCTGAGTGGAACAATGAATATATTGATCTTACAATGATGTGTGTGTTTTTTTTTATTTATTTATTTTTTTTTTTTTGTATCTGTCATCACTCATCACCTTTTAGGTAAGTAAAAGTGCTTGGATTTTCTTCAACAGTATCTCTTCTGATAAGAAAGTGAATCTAGTTGGTACTTTGGGGGGTTCAAAAGTAAATTTTTTCCAGTAGCTTTCAAAAGCGCCGTGAAAAACAAGAGAAAAATTAAGGGAAAACGGGAATTTTTACACAAAATCTGTTTTCGAAAAAATCAATTTTGGTTTTTTGCGTAACTTTAAATCAAATGACCGTACTACCGTAAATACATAACATTTTCACTGGTTGTGTATATTTGCATTTTCTATACACGATAAAATTTTCAAAATATTATTTTAAGGCTCCTAGTATATTGTTTCAAAGGCAGATAAAAAAATATTAAAAATCCTTAGTCACAGTTTATTTGTATAAGCATTTAAAGTTCAAAAATTGACAAACAATGGAAAAATCACGAAAATTAGCAAATTATTTTGAGTTAAGAATTCGTAAAAATTTTTCTTTTTAAATCTAAGATTTTAAAATGTAATACAAGATTCCTTATAAGATTATCTATCTTTATCAAAAAAAAAATGTCCATAAGAAAGTCAAATTAAATTTTTATGAGCGTTTGAAATTCAAATTTTTACAACATTGGATATTCACTCGATTTCCTTATTTTTTTGTAATTCATATGTTTATATTAACATTTCCTATACACCATACAATTTTGAAAATATTTTGACTATTTTTGACCTGTTTACGGGCATTTACAGTTTTCAATTTTTTTAGTTTTTTTTTCTATAAATATTAATAAAATGTTATCTGTTGGGCCAAAAAGTGTAAAAATTTAATACAAGGCTCCTGATATATTGTTACAATATCAGTTGAAAAATATTAAAAATACATATGTAATCATAATTTTTTTTTATAAGTATTGAAAGATCGAATTTCCACAAAATGTATCAAATTTAAAATTGAATAACAATTTTGTAGTTAAAAATTTATAAAATGTTTAACTTTTATATCTAAGGATTGAAAATTTAAAAAAAATATTCTCATAAATAGTTCATACTGTAGCCAAAAAATCTAAAAAAATACATTATCACAGTTTATTTTAATAGTAATTTTAAGTTCAAATTTGGACAAAATGACATAATAAAAAACCTAGAATAAGTATTTTAGTTATTTTGTTGTGATTTTATAATATTATTCGTGGGTACTTGAAACTTCTAAAGTATACTATTATAATAAATCTATGATACTATATCATGGTTTGTCATTGATGTATAACGCGTTATAAGTAGGTACCTAATGGATATTGTGATATGATTAATTTGGAATTTATTATAGATACCTATTATAGGTCAATTTTTTTTAATACTATTGATAAGTTTATAATTTGTCTTATACCTAGACTGACATCCTGTCTCCGCTCTGAATCGTTTTTCTTATACAATAATATTATATTATTGAATTCAAATTTAATACCATCCATTATACAGTGACCCCCTTGTAACCTACTATACAGCAGAGCAACTTTTTTATAATTATGTATTTATTTTGTAAGTTCTTAGCTATATTACAGTAGGTATTGAGAATGATTATTGAAATTAAAAACGAAATCACACTAAATAATTATTGCTAGGTATTCTAGATCGAAATTTTTATTTGAACTATAGGTACCTACTAGTTATTAATATACCACACTATAATAATATGTAGTTTGCATTTAATAAAAAAAATTATAACCTATACTTGTATTTTTTATGTTTTCAATCATCATTATATAATAACTTTAATACATATAAATTTTGATTATGTACCTACTCATAATGAATCATCCATAAAACAAATAAATTAAAAAAAAATTTTCTTTTATACTTACCTACTATATTATGTTTATTGTTTTAATGAATTATGTACAATAATGTGCGTTATATAATATAATAATAATTAAATGGTGGAATCTTTAGGTGGTATGGCCATATGCAAAATATTTTCTTCTTTTTTAAATATGTTCCGGTCAGTGATGGCTATCTACAGTGGCGTATTTACGATTTTGGCGCCCTAGGTACACACATTTTGGGGCCCTTTTTGTTCTCAATTCCCTTTTATTCATTGTCACAAAAAACTTTAAAGACCCCTCTAATTTACAATTTACTTTTTCTCTCAGTTAATAGTGCAGGGCTTGAAACCGGTATAAACCGTTATAAAACCGAAACCGTAACCGAAACCGAAAAAAATTAGGAACCGATATTAAATTCAATACCGACTCGAAAAAAATTGGATACCTGTATTATAATTAAAAACCAAAAATATAATCTAAAAAACGGTATTTTTTTTTGAATATTTGTGTATCTTGACGTTTTGGAAAGTTTACTTTACACAATAGGCGATCGGACGCTTGATCCAGCGATTCAAAAAAATTAATAAACTAAGAATGAACGTAAATAGTCCAGGTCTCGAATCCGAGTTTTTTAAAAACCGGTATAAACCGTTTAAAAACTGAAACCGATAATAAAATCCAAAACCGAAACCAAAAAAAATTGGAAACCGGTGTACAAATCGAAACCAAAACAGAAATTTTTTCAATAGGTTTCAAGCCGTGTAAAAGTGATAGGTAATTGATAACCCAAAATGTATATTTTCCCCTTATTGCATTTATGCTTCCACTAATTTAGAGAACACTTTTATTTTACCATTAACACTCCGTTTATTCCTAATTAAATAAACAAATTATAATTTAGATTTTAGCCTTCTACCCCTTTTTTACAAAAATTTAATAAAATACATTATAATATAAATACATTATATACATTACATTATAAATATATTATGTTTATAGAAATATGTATAGAAATGTAAAAGATATTATAAGAGAGATATAGGCATTCACTTATCAGTTATCACTAATATAATTTCTCAACATATCCAATAAAATAAATAATAATTTTGTTATAACCTCTTATAGCGACGGTGCGATAGTTTATTAATAGTTAATATCAAAGCAAATTTACATATTACCTAATTTGTTACAGAAAATTATTCGAGCAAAAAGTATATATTTTTTATTTTTTATTTTAAAACAAGTACCTATTATAAATTTGGAAAACTGAATTATTTAAGTATTTATATCTCATTTTAAATAAAAATATTAAATAAATAAATACTTAACTCGAGCCCAGTGTATGTTCTCCTCTATAATTTAGATAAATGTGCTCTAATTTGCTGTAAATTTGCTCTAATATTAACTGTATTAAGAATCTAATACGTAGATTTGCTGTCTTGTGCTTGACCCAACACATCAATACCTTAATCCAGTTGTACTTTTCAAAGTACCTTAGAGAGTTATAATTTTATATATTTATTAAAAAATCATCTCAAATATAATATCTAATTTTTACTATTACTCGGTGCAAGCGAGTATTATATTATACACTTGACACTTCCCAGTCATATCAGATAAACTGTATTAATTTAAAACTGATTCTAAGTAAGTTTAATGATGATTTGTATTACAAAAATTGTTATTTTATAGATAATCTGACCATTTAAAATTATCAGTCAAACTATATTAATAGAATCTACTATAATAGAATACTATAAAATTTATAAAATATGTATAATATAATATTATTATATATTATTAATATTGTATATCTGTGGCTTGGGTCAAAATGGGCCAATCTCATTTTTAATCACTTTGTAGTAATCAAGAATAAAACGTCTTTTTTTTTTTTGAAAATATATGGCAATTTTTTTTTTTTATTGTTCAAGTTTTTGTTTTTGTGATGTATGTAAATATAGTTTACCCTACATTTTAGAATATGGTGTGAATTTTTTAGTTAAATATTGAAGGTTTTCTATTTACATTGGCCCTATAAAATCATAATTGAAAAAAAAAATCCCGACTTTGGCCCTTTAGTAAAACTATAAGGACCAAAGTCATAATTTTATTTAAACAAAAAGGGGCCAATCCTCACATAGGCCCCATAGATTTTGTAATTTTCATGACATTGGCCTTCTCATATCTCGCACTAATGATTATTGAGATACGCATTGTTAAAACTAGAAAAAGAGTATAAAGTTTTATAAGATGGGCCATATAACTCATTTAAGCCAAAAAGTGAGATTGGCCCTTCTTTTTGACCCAAGCTCCAGATATATAATTTTTTTCTGTCAGTAAACATAAACAAATTATATATTAAAGAATTAAATTACAAACACCAATATGAGTTGTAATTAATCATATTTTTTAGATTACATGGATTATGGAATAAAAATATCAGTTTTAAAATTAATGAATCGTGCAGTCATCTTGTTCTTTCATTAAGTTATCAAACTTTAATATCTTGAGGAGAGTTTAAAATTTATAAAAAGTAAAAAAAAAACATCTTTATATTTTTCTTTTTGTGTTAGAATCTTTTTATACAAACAATAGGGATCAAAATTAAATTATCTTAATTCCTAAAATTGTACATAGATAAACATAAATCCCTTAAAATATAAAAATATACACAAATAATACATAATCACATTAATTACCAATTAATTAAAATTTTAAGGTTCACTTCTTGTATCATGCACCTTGGTTGTTCTGGAGTGCCTGGTTTTGTTGCAAAGATAAAAAAGCTAAATGCCCCTTTGGACACTTATTGGCATAATGACCCTTAAATCCACACTGAAAAAAAAATAATAATATTTATCAAATAGTTAATAGATGAAACAATGTTCTACTGTTTCAACAATAAAATCATTCCTGACAAAAATCAAAATATTTATTATTACCTAGAACTATAATAACGTTAATAATTAAGCACTTACATATAACTACAACATAACGTAATTTAACGAATAAAATTGAATAAAATAAATAAATTAATAGATTTAATAAAGGCTGTCATATAGTATGCGGTCTACTGGCGAACATGTTCTGCCGGACGGTAGGCCACTGAAGGATGCGGTCTACCTGCGACCGGCCGGTTTTCAGACAGGCCTAAGTTTATTTTAGATTCTGAATGGAACGATGAATGTATTGATTTTACAATGTTGTGTGTTGTTTTTTTTTTAAATTTTTATTGTGTCTGTCATCATGTTTTAGGACAGTAAAAGTGCTTGAATTTTCTTCAACAGTAGCTTTTCTGATAGGAAAGTGAATCTAGTTGGTACTTTGGGGGGGTCAAAAATGAAAATTTCCCAGTAGTTTTCAAAAGCGGCGTGAAAAAGATGGTGGCAAGGAATAAATAAATCGGATTTATTTAATGCATTTTTGAGAGATATGGCTGAAGTTTTTGTAATATGAACAACATATGTTTTTTTTTAAATTATTATTATTATTATATATTTTTTTTTTTTGACAACAATATTTTTGACAAACAAATTTTTAATTATTAATTTTTTTTAATTATTTAAGATAATGCTCAATAATGCACAATATTCATCATTTTTGACAACAATTATACTACAATATTATGATATAATTGATACTTTATTTATTTGTGGTAGACCACATACTATATTCGCAAATAGCAGGTAGACCGCATACTATACTCGTAAATTCACCGGTAGACCACATACTATATGACAGCCTTAATAAATTAGTGAAAAACACATGTTTATAATATAAATGAAAATAAAAGTTATTGAATATAGTATACACTATATAGCCATAATATTATATATTCAAATTGGTTTAACCCTTATCTAAGTAGACATTATTCACCACGTATGTAATTATATTATAATTCATATTTATAAATACATGAATATTACAATATAAAGAGAATGTATAACAAATTGTTTGTAATTTAATATTACATAGTTACTAGGGGATGTATTTGAATCTGATATCTAAAAATGTTGATCAAAATATTTTACTTTCTTGATTTTTAATCAAGTATAGTAATTGAAATGAAAAAAGTCTATCTTTTGAAAACTTCAAGAATTTGTGTTAAATAGGAAAATAACAAATAGGTAACTCAGTAATGATGAGTAGGTGGGTAATTTAGCTAGCTTTAATATAAAATATTAATGAGATAGATTTGATATCACACCCAAGCGGTTTAACCACTTGAATCCATAAAAACGTCGGCGTTAACAGTCCCAACATTTATATTTTTTAACTTTTCACCTAAACTACCGGTAGCTAGAAAGTTGGTTGATAACTCATTAAAAAGGGATTATCAATTAGAAACTAAATGAGGAATAAAAATTTTTTTTAAAAAATTATTTAATTTTTCACAGATAAAAACAGTTATATTTTGATAGATTTTCATTTAAAGAGGTAGATTTCCAAAACTGGAGAATGGATTTTGTTTTTGGGGTATGGTTAGATTCACGTTAGCTAGGCGAAGTGTAGTGAAAATTTCCGAACTTTATCTTCAATCGTTAATTCACTACAAAGCTGTAAAGCTGAAAAACATCAAAAAACCCCCAATAAAATTTTTTAAATTTTTTTTTAAAGTTCTATAGTGAATTAACAATTGGAGATAAGATTCTGAAAATCTGCACTTCTCCTAATCAATGTGAATCCAACAAGACCCCAAACAATGTAATCCGGTTTCCGGTTTCGGAGATCTAACTCACTAAATAAAAATGAAAATGATTTTTGGTGGGGATGTTTACACCGACATTTTTCTGGACTCAAATTGTTATACCGCTTGGGTGTGATATCAGTTAATAAATTTCTAAAAATTAAAAATCAAGAAAGTTGACATGCCGATCCCTAACTTGGCAAGCGTTTTTTTTTAAGTACCTATTGAATAAAACATTATTACTTTATAGCATGTAACTTCTTCTAGTGGTTTCAATTTTCTAGCAAATCCTGCTTGAGCATTTGTTGGCAATGGTTCATTGTTGACCTCCAGCTCTGGTTTAATTTTTACAAGATCTGATACCATTTTATGACAGTACATAGCTTTATGCCCAGTGTCACCACAAAAATGACATATTACTACAAGTTTTTTTGAATCTTTTTGGTTGGCATCATATTGTTGATATGCCGGAAGTTCAAATCGAGGACTAAAATGAAAAATTATATATTAATTTAATTTAATTTAAACGCAAAAACAAAATTAAATTTTAGTGAATTATTATTTTAATACATTGTCTACAATTCGCTATTAAATATACATTTAAAAGAAACTGTAAATTATTTGGTGATTAAGTCTAAGTTAGTAGGACATTGTATTAATTTCTAATTTTTGTTTTATTTTGTTATAATTACAATGATATTAAATGATTTACTCATAATTGTTCAATAAGTTTATTTTTATTTTTATGAATTGTATACTTTTTTAAATTTATCTACATAAAAATTACATTTCTAGGATAAGTGGATAATGTGGCTAGTTTTACATTTTAAATAAAATATATATTTATTTAATAAATAAACACAAGTTAAAGTTTTTTTCCTGCAATTTAATCAGCCATTGATAAAATATTGAAATACATTTTTATTTTATCCATCAATAAAATAAGAAAATTTCAAATTCTCTTTGCAAAATTAAAACTTATTATTTTTATTAAGTATTAGATTGTAGACAATGGTTATATAATAAAATAAAAAGATATACTAGGTAGTAATAATACATACTGAACAAATTTACAGTTCGGACCATCCGGACAAAATCCAGCAACATAATTCATACAAAGTACACGGCGAACATGTTTATGTTTACAATGTGGGCCATGGCGACAAAATCCTCGATCATACCATGGACAGTCTTTTAATTTACTTTCAGGATCAATATGTAAAAATGGACATTCTTTGTTATGACAAGCATCTAAATAAATTATAATAACATTATAATATATAAATACATCTACAAATACATGAATATCATTTATGAAAAATAAGTATTATTTCTTACTAAATCGAGCATAGAAATAACATTCAGGCATTTTAGTCATGTCATATTCGTGTAAGAATTCACACTGATCCCCTTTTTTACACAAACCACGTAACCAATGTTTACAAACAACAGTTCGATCGCCTCGTACATGTCTCATTGGACATAATGCTCCTTTAGAACAGGAACCTTTTGGATAAAATGAACAAACTGCGGCGATAGATTCTAAACAAAAAATTATTAAATTGTTTGAGTTCAATTAATTATTTTGCTAAGTAAATAAAGTATTAATACAAAAATAACATAACCTATAGGTAGTTCCAAACATTAAAATATGGACTTGTACAAAATAAGTTTTATAAAGTCTATTAATAAGTAATTAAATGTTGACCGATATTATATACATATTTTTTTCTAAATATATATTATTTATACTACCTATAGGTAAATTTTTTAATTATATGGTTTCTATACTTTTTTTAGGTTCAATAATTAAGATATGAGTACCTACAATTCTTATAAAAATTATAGCACCAAATCTGTAAGTTAAAAGTTAACACTACAAGCTAACATAATTTAAAACAAAAAATAAAAAGTAAAAATAGCATATTGTGAATTGATCTGATACAAAAACTGATACTGGGTATTAAAAATTGTCAGAATAATGTAAGCATAAACATATTTAAATAAAGTGTTTAGAAAATATAATGTGTAATTTGATTTTGTCACACAACTCAATTTTTAAAGTCTGTTTTAAAAATATGGTCCAAATTTCTAGAAATATTTGAACCGTTCCAATTTACAGTGACTTTTTTAGGATACATAATTAATTAAACATGAACCTTTTTTAGTAATGAATAGCTTGCACATAATAATTATACAGCAATAATAGACACAGACCCTGAATAAAATGTTTGAGTAAATAAATAATAATAGTGACTTACTGTCCATTCCATTAAACGGCAGAGGTAAAGCCCCATGTTGTTCGTCTAAAGCTATTTCAACATTGAACTTGATGTCGTCAAATCCTGCTACAAGCAACTCCATTGTATCTAGGGAATAGAAAAGGTACAGCTATTTTATAGGAAAACTTAATTAAGAAATTAAGCTACATAATTTTTTTTTAACTGCAATACTGCAAAATAATAAATATTATACTGTTTATTTTCGAATACGTATTTTGTTGTCGATAAGAAAACTGATAACAGATTTGATAGCCGGTTAACCATTTGATAAGCAACCTAAACCGCGGTTAATGCGTTCAAAAATTGAAAAATTATGGTTTTCCCGGTCAAAAATAAAAATGACACAAACCGGTCCTCGACCATCAACCTTCGTGTGGTACTTGTAAAATTAAACAATAAGCAATAGCCAATAATCACACAATAGTGTGCCTAGTTCACAGTTGCCTGCTCGTTAGACCGTTTTTCGCGCGGCGTTCGGTTGTTGTTATTCTCTTAAAATAAACCGCCATTTACGTATCCGACCACCACTGGTCGGTCTTCTCGTCCCTAAAACAAAGAGAAACACGCCATGGCCGATTGTCCCCAGTTTCAGTTAATGCCCCAAGTAATGCCTGTCTATCGTCCGCAAACGCCGCTAACACAGCCGCCTCCGCCGCAGAACGCGTTTCCAATGTCACCGGGGCAAGGGCAACCGATCTTCTCAGTGCCGCCGCCGCAATTTGGATATCCGCCCATGGCGTGGTCGCCAGTCCATCAGTATCCGCCTCCGCCGCCTCTGACGCCGCAGCAACCGGCCCCGGATCACACCGAGGTGGATGACGACTACGACGTGCAGCAGCTCGTGTTCAACAATAACAACAACTACAGCATCAACAAAAATATAATTTCCGCAGATGACTTTCAAATTGATTCGGAACTGCAGCCTCCCCAGCGCCATAACACTCAGAACTGGCAGATGTTCTCGCAGCGCAATGTTTCCAATAAGGTAAACACTACACATCAGATCCGGTTGCTTTAGGGGGCTCAACAATTTTATATTTGTGTATATCTATTTTTTGTGCTTAGGGGGGCGAATTGGGCTTGTAAAAGCCTATTGACCTCCAATTGTAGAAAGCTGTAGAAAATTGTAGAAAATTTAGAAGAGTAACTAGTACCTATTTTTATTACCTATAAAAATAACACCTAATTCCAACTTTAATTACATCAATAACATATTATCGAGGAGCATTGATTTATGGTATTCTATAAATTTAGAAATCATTATCAAATACAGAAATTACAGTTTGAGATAATTAAGATATTAAGGACGTGCTATCCTTAATTATGGTACCTTGGCGCATATTAATGAAGGTCTTGTGCCATGGGGGCCCATGGTACAAGGACTTACTATTTTACAGCCCAGTAGGCCAGTGTGCCAGTCCTCCCCTGACATCTATTGCTCAGGACTCAGGTATAGCATGGCAAGCACTTTAAATTCTGTGGCGATGAGCAGGGTTTCCGAATGGAACGCAAAAACGGTTAAAGAACATTATTGTTGTTCATGAACCAAAATATAATTTAACGAAACCAAATATTTAATTTAGCTTATTGGTCCTTCATATGAAATAATATTATAAACTATTAAGTTTACTGAACTTTTTCATAAAAAACGTTATAATCTTTAAAGTTTTTTAAATAATTGACATGAGGAGCATCATAACCTATTAAGTTCTTTGAACTATTACTAGAAAAATGTTATAACTAGGGCACGGATGATGTTGCATTTGCAACTTTTTTCTACTTTTTCAATTAATTGCTAAGTAAGTTTTAAATACGTTTCATGTAAGTAAGAATTCAAATCTAAAAGTTTTAAGTGCAATTTTTTGCAATTTTTGGGATTTTTTCAATTTTATTGCAATTTTGTCGAATTTACTCATTTATACAACTATTTTAGCAATATTTTACATTTTTACACATAACGGTCGTATGGATAAGATTATACCATAATATCTGCAGCCATAAAACCCAATTAGTAGTATAGTATACACTATACAGTATAATAGTGGTATCTTATCGAAATAAAGATAAAATCAAGTCTGATTGAAAAATGATTTGTGAAATGTGACTGACTGTATAATCTGTTCTTCAGTCACTCCGTGAATTTTGAATGATTGTGTTCTTACAGTGTTAAATATGCCGAAAATTAAACCAACTATTTCTACCGTTGTTAAAAATTACGTATTAGAATTTGGAGAAGATGTGTTTTTGTGTGATGAATCCGTACTTTTTTGTAAATTGTGTGAAACAAAAGTAAGTGCTGAACGGAGGTATACAGTTACACACCATATTGAAACTGTAAAGCATAAATTAGAAAATCAAGGACAATCGGTAGTTGAAGCCATTAATATAATTAAAAATGTTCAAAATAAATTAGAAAATGCATTTGGTGAAATCGGGATTTCAATCCATGAAAAATATAAGATAGTTATTGAAAAGAATACCGGACTTAAAACCATTATTAAAATCAATGATATACTAACTGGACAAAGAAAATCGTTCTATGGTTTCCCCGAAGACTTAACAGTAAGCGATTTAGCTTATTTTATATACGCTCCGCTTACATCAACCGACGTAGAACGAAGTTTTTCGAGATATAAGAACTTACTAGCTCCAAATCGAAGAGTGTTTGATTTCGAAAATTTAAAACAAACACTTATAGTACAGTGCAATGATGTATAATATAAAAAGTTTATAATGGCATGATTATAATATAATGTAGGTATATATTTTTTTTTTTGAATTATTTAGAATTTTAGATTATAATTTATAACAGTAAACTTAAAACAGTCTGCAATCAATTTTATTATTTTTTTAGTACTACAACATCCGTGCCCTAGTTATAACCTATAAAGTTCTTTGAATAATTACTAGATAAACGTTATAACTTATTAAGTTCTTTGAACAATATTACTAAAAAAATGTTACAACTTATAAAGTTCTAAGAAAAATTACCCGAATAACGCAATAAGCTAATACATTCTTCAAACTTTTAACACATAGAATATCACAAACTAAACCAGAACAAAACAAACAGAACTTCGCCGATGAGGATTACTTGTGGGAAGGGGACCAGTTATTTGATTATAATAAGAACACATTAGGAGAATCAAAGAATGCATCATCATTGTACCTTGGCCCAATTAGGATTTTTAATTTTTTTTTTTTTAACAACATTTTATTGTCCCAGGTTTACTAAAGTAGGGAGAATCTAGGGAGTAAAAATGATTTTCAACCAAACTTTTTAAATTTAATTGAATACATTTTTTGATTCCTTATGATGGATGGAATCAAGTGACCACATTGGTAAAACGTTTTTAGTTTTAAATGTTGGTTGGCCATTTATATATTTTATGGTGTTATGCATAGGACCTTTCTCAATTACTAACTTGTAATAATATACCTATTCATGATAAACTAAAATTATTTTTTAAATGTATATTGTTAGTTTGATACACGACATGAAGAATTCAGAAAATACTTGGAAGAAGTGGGTATTTTGTCTACTTTCACTAATATATTATCTGATATGTACCAAGATCCTTTACGACCTAATGATCCTTTGGGGTAAGTGATTTAACCACCAAAATAAGTAAAATTAAATAAATAATGAAAATATAATTTTATTGTGTTAAAGATATATTCGAGATAAATTAAGTTCTTCTCGGCCTGAAACAATTGAACTTAAAAATCTTCGCATTTGGTGTGATCAATACCAAACAAGAACCATTCGTCTTGAAAAAGAGTTGAAGCACGTAATTGAACGGTTAAGAAAATATGAACCATATATTACTGATGATTCTCTTTTGAACGAAAATTCTACAGAAAAGGACTGCAAATCATGTGTATCCGATGTATCAAAACTTGGGTTGGAAAGTAAGAAAGAAAATGCTCAACATGGATCAAGAAAAAATTATAATCAATAAAAGATAGTATTTGACTATAATTCTAAAAAAAAAATTAAAAATTAACTGAAAAATTGAAAGATTTTCAAAATTTGTTGTTATTGTAACTTATATATAAATCATTTTTGGAATTGTATTCTTGTTGTTAAAGATAATTTTTCAATTTTTCTGTTCCTAAAATTGGACTATATTTATTAAATTTTAATGACGTTAATTAAATTAATAGTTTTATGTTGGCTTTTAAGTTGTTGAATTTCTCTACTTAGAGAATTATTCATTATTAACTTATGTTACAGTTACATTCGTATTTTTGAATGTATTTTCTCTTTCAAATGTTGAGAAAATCCATTGTTGAAGTTTATTTTGTGTTCATCTAACATTTTTTTTTTTTAAATCCTTATTGACTTATTTTGGTTTTTTTTTTTATTGATTATCCATCTTTTTTGAAATTGTCTAATTCTATTTAATATGATTTATTATTTAAATTAATATGTATTCATATTATGATGTATAATGTTTGTATTTTTTTTTTTTTTTAACTTTTTTGTAGACTTAGATTATTGTTATTTGATACTATGAGGTATAATACAGCCTATATATTCATAATAATTTTTTTCAATTTATATTACTTACATTTTTGTCAACCCATTCAAAATTAATTATTATATATATTTGTATACATAAAATTGTGTATGTGTATATCCCTAAAATACCTATATGTTTATACAACTTTCATTTTTGTTTGCCATCTTACATTAATTATTATGTATACCTACTCAATTTTTTGTGTTAATTAAAAATATTTTTTCACAATTTTTTTTTTAATGTTGATATTTTAAATGGTTTTTTTAATTATTCAATTTTTTCTGTACAATTATGATTTTAATTTATTTATATTAGTTTTAATATTTAAACAAACATTATATTTATTTTATAATACAATTAAATAATCTTAATTTATTATTAGTATTTTTATTTTATAATAAATTCTATTCATTGATTTAGAAATTAGAATAGAGGTCTCCAAACTTTTTAAACCTATGGCAACTACTGTCACAAATACCAAAACACCACTGACATCTGCTGACAAGTATCCACTTTCTTTGAGTTTCTTGTTTCTTCTTATTTGAAAAGTATTGAAAAAATTCTATGAAAATGTATTTTTTATTTCAAGTAATATGGTTTGTTGATTGGTTTGAGTAAATACACTTTAAATATTCTAGAAGACCAGTTAATCTATGCCTGTAATGTATAAAAGTCAATATTAAACTTTTTAATTACTAAACTCAATATTTCAAATTCAAAAAGTAAAACATCACAAGTTTTAGAGCTAAATATTAGACATTGAAAATAAAATATCAAAAATTGACTCCTATATCGTCCCCGTTCATGCAAAACACACCAAGTCCAAAAACATGATTTTTGAGTATGAGCTTTTGCAATTTTTCCAATCTATAATTCCATATTCTGCGTATTAAGGAAAACATCGAATGGACTTAGTTAACATTTTGAATTGTATATTAAACATCTTTAAATAATATTGGGACTTAGTTGAATACAGCATATTGTAGATATTTTTAAACTGAATTTTATATGACAATAAACCGGAAAACCCAATTTTTGGACTTAGTGTGTTTTGCATGAACGGGGACGATATAATCCTAGATAAACTTTTTTTAAAAGGTAGGTATTTATTTTTCAATTAGCTTAGTTTAAGTTTTTCAACTAAACTATACATCTTGTCTGTGGTGACGTTTTCTTTATTTCAAGATGAAACTGATGATTCTATATGCAATTTACCACAATTATATTACAAGTAACAAGTACAATGTGATCAATAGTACAAAATAATGCAAACATGATTACATGTTAATTATTAGTAATAATATAAACATTTTCATTTAGTTCTCCAGTATAATTATCCTTATTTTAGTCACTTGTAATCTTAATCATTTTCAATCTGATGAAATTACATGATTTTGGGCAAACTACACGTCTGTAAACATAACATTATAGTAACCATATTTCGTACTATTTCCTGAACTTGAATCCAGGAATTCTGGACCCGAATTCAAAGTTTATAATTATTTAAAGTGATTTATAGTTAATAAACCACGCAGGATATAATATATAATATAAATTAAAACAAGTTTCATTTGGGTTTTTTTTATATTTGTATAAAAAATATTGTCATAATCAAAAAAAAAAAAAAAAAATAAATCACATTTTTGTTTAAATAAATAACATTAAATTGTTCACTATAGCATACATAATGATAAAAATAAGTAAAATAAATTTGTAAAGCATTTATTTATAATTTTGTATAGAGTTGTAGAGTACTGTTATTGCATCTATCTATATATAAATAAGGAAAGGTCTGTTCAATAAATATATGTATATATGCAGTGGTATATCAAGAAGGACTTAAAAAACAACTATTTTTATAAACAGTTTTTGGTACTAAAACATAAATAGCATTAGACATTGTACACTAATAAATTTATATTACTCTATTTTAGTTATAGTTCAACAATTCAATAAAATAAAATTGGTATAAAAACAGAATAATACACAGTCCCCACAAGCCACAAGGTAAACACATTACACAACAAATGAGGAAACCCTGGATCATTCTGTGTATTAAATTTTATTCAATAAACAATTAGAGCTAAAAATTTTTTTAACAAAGTAAAGCTTGAACATTGTTAACAATCTTGAATTTTGTATGATTCTGACATTTACTTTGGAATGAATACACTAGGTATACTAATTTTGTTAAAGAATACTATTTTGCCTAATTTGTGGAATGAAAAAATGCTGTTATTGAAATACCACCGTTAATATAATATATTGTTTGCAACAAACACATATATATTCTGTGATGATCATTAATTTTTAAGACACTTCAGTAAAAAAAAAAACCTAGATTTTAAATTAAAAATTAAATTAACTTTACACGTTTGCATCACATACCACCAGTCCTTTCTTGGTATATTTCAATAACATCGTCGTTTATCATGCCCAATGATTTAGGGGTATCTTCGTCGGTGATTCTATGACCATCAAACACAAAACGCAACTCGTCCACTTGAAAACCCAGCTTGCTGCAATACGAGCGTTTCAGACGAACCAAGGCTGTGGCGGCTTTTACACGGAAGTGCACCTCATTGGTCATGTCACTAGTGATGACACGCAAGCGGATGTACTCGTCAGTGGCCGCAGCCTTGTCTTCTGCCACCTCCAGGGCACCGGAATTTGGATTAGCCACAGACGTGCTTTGACATTGATTGTCATCATCAGTGACTCCGGTTGCAGAGCTGCCAGCTTCGTTTGTGGTCTCCGAGGTAGACGGCTCGGTATTTGGGGTTTCTTCGTCGCTCATTATTCTCTAAAAATAAAGACACGTTATTATTCGTCGTTCCACAACAACGGCATACGGCCGCACCTAACGCCTATAGTGCCCATAATCATATAAACACACTAATTTCAATTTATTTTACAGGTATTATACGCACGTGTTGTTCCTCCAAAATGAGTTTTTTAACACTCACCGTTGAGATTTCGATGACGTTCCTCCGAACTCGGGTGTTGTCGTCGTCGTCTCTGCGTAACACCCTACGACAGCCAATCGGACAGATTCAGCAGCAATGCTATTTGCAGCCAGACAATTCGTTTAGAGCGACGTCGAACAGGCAATAATTTACATACGTCGACTATACTCTATAATTTTACGAGAGAGTTCTATTACTTCTATTTCTATTACACAAGCGACAAGTTCACAACTTCAACGAATGGCATTCACTCACGGAATAGAATATAGATATTAAATGCATTCACTAATCGGTATTGGCGTAATAACGGTAACAACACATGGTATTATAGTTTACCTGATAAGTGTTGAATTTTATATTATTATCACGGTTAAAGATGGCCGACATCAGTGTCAACAAACGTTATTTTTTAGTTGTCTGTTTTTTGTATTCAATCGATATTACACAATATATCAACACGACAGGGAGATTCAAAACATCATCGCAATGCAATGGTTTTATTGAAGTCGTGTAAAATTATGGACAAACGAAACAAGTATGAAACATATCGTAAATCGTAATGTTGTATCGTATTCAAATACAAATTAAAATTGTTACAAAATATGTACAACGAAAATATTTTTGCTACAGACTCCCGAGTCCCCAGAGATCCGATACATGACCGTGGTTAAAATCGTGTAGTTATGGTTTTATACCTTGGTATAGTGGCGCCGACATTATGGTCACTATGGTGACGTCCCTACGAGCCCGTTTGGTTTGCGCGGAAATTTTTCGTTTAATTTTTGATTTGAATTACGGAGTAGTTCACCTTCCGAATGATTTCAGGACAGATTGCAATCAATGTGAAATTGTGAACTGTAATTTCGTAACTGTTAAGGGGAGATTTTATTGAATTTTTTTTTTATTTGGAGGGGGCTTAACTTCTTAAGTCTTTCTTTACAAAATAAGAAGTGGGGAGCTTTGAAAAATGTTTAATAATTATTTTTTGTGGGGTGGACTAAGCACTTTTATCCCAAATGTGAACTTATATATAGTAATAGTATACAACTTAAATTGTATAATATATGTATCATGCAGCTATTCCATTTATGACTTATAAAAAATATATAATCTAACTTTAACTACTATATATTATATATACCGTGTGTAGCAGAAAGAACTGACCAAAAAAAAAAAAAAAAAAATGATGCTACTTAAATGTATGACAAAAATTGTTGAAATTATATGATTAGTAAATAGTTTTAAGAATATACCCATGTTATAAAATTTCCAAAAATAATATTTTTAAAAAAGCTATTGCGTTCCAAATTTATTTTATCAAAAAAATATTGATATTTAAAAAAATTCTAAAAAATAAACTACTAGACTTAGATAAATGTTTTTACCATCCAAATCGTACTTAAAATCAGATTCACAAGTTTGCTATTTTGAATTTATTCAAAAAAATTTAAGTCAAATTTAAAATTTTTTATTTTTAGTATAAAAAAATAAAAATAATTTTTTTCCTCTTACACGTGTAGAGCAAGTGGCTATAAATTATATATAAAAAAAAAAAAAATAAAAATAATGATCAGAACAAAAGTTATGTCAAAAGTCAGTTCTATCTGTTACACCCTGTATATAGACCTTTAAGCATTACACATCTAATCAGTATAATTTAGACAACAGGCAATAGTCAATAGCAGGTGGATAATTAATAAATTAACAATGGTCATATTGTAGTTAATAACCATTGACCATATTATACGTCCATACATATTATAAAATATAAGGTAAGTTATATACGTCATAAATCATAATAATATATTTTCATCTTCAGCTTATCGGACCATTAAGTGCCATTGCTGACATCACAAAAACATTTAAAGTGCATCATAATATACTATGATACTCGTATACTAATGAATAACCGCATATAGGTGTATACAAATATAAGTATAATACCTAATACCTACTACTTATTATAATCTATATACTTATCAGTTATCTGAAGTATGACTCGAGATGTTTACTTACTTAAAATTAATCAGTAGTTGTACATACTACATTGTAATGTATATTTTATCTTCTTGTTTCTTGAATTATGATTAAATATTTAAATATATTTAGTATGTGATGTGATTAGGTATTTGTAGGTATCCAATTGTTATTGGTCTATTATTGTGAAGTTTATGCGTGTAATAAAGGTCTATTTAATTCTTTCCTCCTTCTGGAATATTTTTATTTTTTCTCAAGCTTGTATTATATTATTATTATATACTAATATAGACATATAGTATACTGTATACAATACCGTATACCAATACAATACTGTTAAACTAATATATAGACATATAAAGTTAGACAATTACAGTACTTTAAGTTGACACATCACACATTCATAACTGGTAAATATATTGACTATATAATATATATAAACCAGGTAAGTAAGTACCCATATGGCTATACAAATTATAGTATTTATTAATGCATGTTATACATAATACACATAATATATATTTTATACATGTGCATATTATACTATTATAGTATATTAGGTATCTATCATATTATATTATAATATAAATAGGCAGGTAGGTACCTACATTGTACATTATTCAATTATTGTATATTTCAATATTTCATTATACTACTCAGTACTCGTATATTACTAAAACTTTTATATATTATTATACAGTAGGACCAGTAGGTACCTACTATATAAAGTATAGAAGCGCTTGTGTGACACTAATACACTATGACTATTGACTATGTACCTAAAATATGGTCTAAATTCTATATTAAAGATAATACTAAACAAAAATAATGATAACCGCTGCAGATAGGGTTTGACCGAGACGTGGGAGGGGCAACAGGCTTGAACAGTAGCAGGTGTGTTACATAATATTCTTTATTGTGATATTATATTTTTAAAAACAAAAAATGATGCATACAAAAACCGAACAGGGGGACGGAGTGGCCGAGCGGTCTAAGGCGTCGGTTGCGACGCAGCCGACACTGGTTCGATCCCGTTGTCACGGGTGGCATTTTTCTTCGGGCAAGTCGGGGTGTCCGGAAAACAAGTGCCTCCACCTACGGGTGCCCAAATCGAAAACTGCCAAAACACACACGCGTGTTAACAATCTACTGTACCCCCCCTACAGTACCACAGGCTAATGACCTAAGTTGTCGAGCCTTAACCCTAATAAAAAAAAACCTAACGCTCCAATGTAGACTTTTTCACAAAAAAAATTGTCATCGTTTGTCTTAAACTCCTATAGTCCTTTGGCTAGTTTCACGGCTATGCGGTCCCACACAGCATAAAAATATTTCCTAAGTATGGTAAAAATATTTTCAGGAAAATAATATAAATTGTCAAAATATTTTAAAAAATTGAGTAAATAATCAGGAAATATTTTACTAATATTCTTTGGCCAAGAAGTTCATATTTTTGAAAATATTTTATAAAAAACATTTACAAAACATTTTAATCATATATTTTCAAAAAACATTTTTAAAGAAACTTTTTAAAAATATTAAATCAACATTTTTATGCAATCATATACTACAAAATATTATTAGTTAAATATTCAAACACTCTAAAATATTCACAAAATATATTATCATTTCCCAAAGGCTGTATCATAAGTACAATTTTTTTATTTACATTATTAAACTTAGTAGAATTGTAGATACTCGTAACCGTGATGCACCGATGGCTAACACGGTCGGTGGATCTATAAAAATATCTATACTACAACCACTGATTATGAATACTTTTATAGTTTTATTTATATCCTACATTATACCGTTATATTATCTCGTAGGTATATAGTTATGTAGGTCACTATTACAGTTGCTTTTTCTGTTATAATTAGTTATTGCTTAAATGAAAAATGAGACCCCTACTTAATTATATAGTATCAATATATACTAATAGTAGGTACCTACCTAATAATATTATATCCTACTGAGCACTGGCCACTTCGGCACTTCCTCAGTCATCGCTATATATCTGTATATTTGATTCTTGAACAGTTTACTGTCGTTAATTTTTGTACCAAATTCATAGTTAGTTTAATTGAAAGACCATTATAATATAGTATAGACATTTTAATACATTCAGGTGGTCGTATTTATATTTTATAACACGCCAACTGTCAAGTATCTATGTATAGGTTATTATGTAACATGCATTATAAATATTATTAATACAAAAAATATCTACAATATCATTTTTTACTTATTTCAATATTTAATTCATAGATCAAAATTTATTTAGTTATTTTTACTATAATAACACGTAAGTAAGTACTAAGTATAGTAGTACCTACTTAAAGTACTTATATGTAAGCATACATAAGTACATTTTTGTAAAAAATACAAAAATAATTTATGTAAGGAAAAGTATTTTTCAGCCAAAATGTATTATAACCCTTAGGTATAACGTCATAATGGCTAATGAAAATTCAAAAGCAGACGAAAAATACTTGTTGAAAAATGGCCGAGTCTTACTAAAAGAAATGTTTGACGGGTTAGCTTACACTTATCCAGTATTTGATGTATATCCAGAGAGTAGAATAATTGGATTAAAATTGGTTAGTCTTTATCATATTTTTAATAACTTTATTACTAGGTATATATTTACTGTAAAAATTATATGAAAATATTTAATATTTTTAGAAATCAGAAAAACGGGTTTGTTTACTTGGTGGCGGTGGATCTGGACATGAACCATATCCATTTGGTAAGTATAAAGTATACTCCAACGGCCTAACGGCTTCTAACCTAACATATATATACTATTATATAAATTATAATAGAAACCAATATACCTCTTGGGCTATTGACTATTTGTTAAATTCCTAAATTATTATTAAAATGCTATAATTTTATTAAAAGTAATAAATATCAAAAATGAAACGGTTTTAACTACAAGCCTATTACATGTACATTTTATAATATTTAATATTATAAAATACCTCTACCTATATGCCGTATTGCCGTGTATCCAATCGTCTATTGGATAATCGCAATTTCCCGTAGACAGAATTCTATAATATGTATAGGCTACTGCAGAGTAATGTAGGTACCTAACTGAGTTATATAGAGTGTATCTACCCAGTTTTCCCGGATACACGGTAGGTATATAACATTATTTTATATATATTATTTTTATTTTTATGTCTGTAGTAACTAGTAGGTATTGATAAAGAATTAAACAATTAATCATTTCATCATGATAGATAAAGTACATAAAGTATTAATGTTTTAAAATGTCACAGATTATTTTTTGAACATAAAAAGAAAAAAGATTCTGATCGAAGACAGTCTATAGAATTTCTAAATTACAAAATGTAACTAAAATCGTTATTCTCTTATTAAATATAAAATTTAGTCTGAATTTGAACATAAAATATCTATTAAAAAAGATTATAGCTATATTTATATGAGGTATGTTTTTTAGATTTCTTTGTTACAGTATGAACTATACATCTATACTTATGAGAAACATTATTTAAAATTTTAAATACTATTAGCTATAAAAATTTTATTTTTTATAAATATTTAACTAGGGAAAACATGCATAATTTGCAAATTGTCACAATTTTGACGATTTTCTTAAAAATTCTAAGATTATAAAATAATATTGTGACTATGTAGGTTTTTTCGATATTTTTTTAATGGTTTATTAGCTATTTAGCTATAAAGAGAACCTTACAGATTTTCAAAATTTTTGACACAAAAAACAATTTTTTATTGACAATAATTTTTATAAAAAATAATAAAAATTTAAATTTTCCATTATACATTTATACCTATGGCATATAGAAAGTGCCAATATAAACATTCAGTGAAAATTTAAATTATCTACTACTATCTATTATTTTTATTTATTTTTGAATTACCAATAACTAATTAAAAAAATCATTAGATTAGAAATCGTTAATTTAGATACGGGTGAATTTACACGTCAAACTTAAAACAATCATAAAAAATTTAATTTAATTTCCGGTAAACTTTTTAAAAATTGATTTAATAGTAATTTTTATCTTAACAAAGTTGATAGTAAAACTTGTACCTTAACTAGAGCCTTAACCCAAGGTTATACTAAAAATAATACATCAAAATACCGTTTTTAATAAAATGAATCTGCATATTAAACATTATTTAAAAAGTAATATTGCATTTTTTGTGCATGGTGCATCAAAACATATTTTTGAAAAAAAAATTTCACATGATTTCTGGTCATTAAAAAAAACAACATATTTAAAAAAATACATATAGTATTTAAAATATTGTTTATCCTTATCATTTTTTAATTTAAGCTTTTTTTGAATAATAACATAACTATATAGACACTTGCCTATTTAATATTCATAATTTATAATTAATTATTATTATTGTAGACTATTCGTAGTGTAATATACCTATGACTTTAAAGTTTAATGTATATATAAAAAAGTACCTAAATTATTTTAACATTTTACTCTTAGGTAAACATCTTAATTTACTCAAAGTTTAAGTATAATAAAGCTATACCTATAAATATTATGTTTGGACTTGAGGTTTTTTCATATCACCTTTTTTAATAGAAATAATAAGCATGTGATTTTTGGATGCAAGTGTGGACATGTATGGTTTTAAAATTTAACTTATAGCCTTATTATAACAGTTTCTAACTTATATACCTACCTATTTATTATTTATATTTTATATTGTGTTTACAGGATATATTGGTGATGGAATGTTATCCGCATCCGTTAGTGGTTATGTGTTTACTTGTTGTTCATCACTGAATATTTACCAGGCAATCAAGTATTTAAATAATTATAACTGTTAGTACCTACATTATTATTGTAATTTTGGCTTCTTCAATATTTTTTTTCGTGTATTTATGCAAAAATGTAAAAAAAATGTTGTTATGTTCTATACTTATAGGTAATGGAGGAGTTTTACTTATAGTGGCGAATTATACTGGTGACGTATTTAATTTTGGATTGGCCTGTGAGAAAGCAAAAAAAATCGACAACATTGATGTGAATTATTTAGATAATGTTTAAGAAGACCTTATTTACATATCAAAAAAATAACAATGTTTTTAATTTCAGGTGGCCGAGTTAATAGTGAGTGATGATTGTTCAAGACCAGGAGGAAAAGTAGGCAAAAGAGGAATGTGTGGTTTATTGTATGTTATAAAGGTAATTTATATGATTATTAAAGTAGTTTTTTGTATTACCCAATGTAATTTTATAATTGGTACATGCCAGTTTGTCACTTGGTATAATTCAAAATATAATACTTATTGTTGTTAGATATTGGGTGTGTTGGCTAAACGAGGTAGTAGTATTGAAGATTTATTGTCCCTGGGTAAAAATATCAATGGAAAGCTAGCATCACTTGGGATAAGTGCAACTTCATGTAATGTTCCGGGTGAAGAACCATCATTTTTACTACAAAAAGGAGAATTTGAATTTGGAGTCGGATTACACGGAGAAGCAGGGACTTCAAGAGTGAAAGTATAATCTAATACATATCATATATTATACAAAAGTATAACTAACTAACAAATAAGAAATAATTAATAACAAAGCAATAATAATAGTATAACACCCATATATTGCATACAGGCGTAGATTAAAACAAAATATTACTCTAGGCAAGATTTTCAAGGTACCCTAGCGGCCTGCACTCGCCCCTATATATTTGTCTACCTTAGCATTTTATTTTTACACAGATTTCAAATATGTATAGGTATGCTTTTAATTTATTTAGAAAATAAATCAACATAGGTAGTACAATATCAACAAAATAATAGTTTAGTTCTTTAATAATTGATTAAATATGTACATTTTTTTTAAGTTTATGCACTGTCAAAACAATTTATGATGATATACATATTAAGTGACTAAAAGTTTTGCAGTTTTGCTACAACATTTAAGGAAGCTACCATATTTAACAGTCTTCTTTCATCGATTATTTTTTAAAGTTTTTAGCCCTTTTTACTATAGTAAAATAATTCACCAGTTTAATTTTCTATAAGTACAGATATTTATTTTTTTTATGATTAGTCATGATCTAATAAAATTTTTTTTACATCATGAACACTGATTCTCATTATATAAATTAGGAATACATTCACACATGTTTCTATTACATTCTAGAAAAATATTTAATATGTATTTAACATGTGAGATGTAACTAAACGTTAATCCAGGTCTGATGTGTATTCAAACTTCACTTAGGTACCAATGTCTTGTTATATGATTACTTAGGTAGTAAGTTAACTTATATTTATATAAAATTTATCAAACTAATAATCATGAATATAATTATAGGCATGTGATGTGAAAGATTTGATCCGTTTAGCAGTAGATAAGATATGTAGCACCCTAGGTTTGAAAGAATTCAGTGTAATTTGTTTGATCGTGAATAATCTTGGATTAGTTTCACACATAGAGTTAGGTGCATTGGCTAAATACGCTAAAGAATATTTTGGTATGTATACAATAATATATTGTTTTTTTGTTTTTGTAACTATTATTTATGAAATGTTCTACAACTTTTACTTTTAACTAAAATATAATAATTAATATGGTATACTTAATAGTTGATAACATTGGTGATTGAGATAAATTAGTTGTGGACTTGTGGTTTTCGAATTTTTAATTTATTAAGAAACTTTGGATCGTTTTTGTTGCAAGGAGTTTTAAACTTAGCCATCCAAGCTCCTAATTATATCATTTTTGTTATCCCCAAGATTTAAGAATCAAAAATACTATAATTATTTTGTATAAAGAAATGAATACAATTTATTAATACAAATTCTTGTAGCACCTTAAGGTTTTACAGAGCACAGTTTAAGAACCACTAATCTAACGACTGTATATTATATATAAATAATAATAATTATGAATTATGATTTATCTAGTGATATCTACATATTTTTTTTAATCTTTTCTTAAATATAGGCGTGTAACCCTTTAAATAATAATTTTAATAATAATTTATAGATGAACTTAAAATAGACGTTAGCCGTATGTTTGTGGGAACATTTATTGTGTCTCTAAATATGTATGGATTTCAATTAAGCGTTATTGATGTAAGTGACAATCAAGAATGGATTAATTATATAGATGAAGAAACATCAGCTTTTGCTTGGCCGGGAAATCATATGAGCATAAAACCAATCGAAAAACAGAAATCTGAAAGTATAAAAATTCCAAAAATTGACGATATAGATCCTAAAGTAAATATTAAGTATTAACTGAGTTTAAAAATCAAATTATTATGTATGAATTAAAGCTAAAAACTAAATACATAAAAAAAGATTCAATTTTCCTGTTAAGTATAGGTATATAATGTTTAACATAAAAACTTAAACAGAATACAGACATATTCAGATAAGTAATAATTCACCTTGGCGTAGGCCTGTGGCTTTGTATTATATTTACTCTTTAGTATTTGAAGTATAACAACAACCAGAAAAGAGCTCATTCTATTAAAATATCTAAATTTGAAAGACTCTTAAAAACAAATTATATTTAACTTTAAAATGTATCGGAAACCGTCTGGAATTAATTCATATAATAAAACAAAAATAATTTTTGTAATGAATAAATAATGAAATGTACATTTCTTCTTTTAAGTTTCAATATTTCGGGGTGCCACCATTGGGTGACTTCCCCATCACATTTACTTATTGTAATATATATAATTATAGATTGTAAATAAAATTTTTGTTCAATAAAAAAAAAAAGTTTCAATACTTATAAATTGCAATTTTATATTTTATAAAAATGTTATTAATTTTTCTATAATACAATAGGTACTATATGTTCAATTATTTCCCTTATAATTATTATTGGTTTTATAAACGAAATCAGGATTTATTTAATACTTTTTTATTTATTAATTTAAATTTTATGTAAAATTCATGTCGAAGTACCTTCACTAGATATTTCTTCCCTCAAGACATTCAAGCCAATACACATAATTTGAAAAAAAACCATACATTATACTTATTGTACTTTGTTTTAGTAGAGATTCAAAAAAAAAAAAATGTATGTAATAATAGAAAATTTAATACTCATATTACTTATTTACTTATATTAGTAGTCTGCATACACAAACTTAATTTAAAAATAAATTGATTATACAGGGTGATTCACTAAGCGTACAACAGGCATTATCTCAAAAAGTATTGACTTTTTTCAATTTTTTTTTTTTAAGACTATAGATTTACGCTGTTCTAGAATTGTATATATTTTTTATATTTTCACCCCTATATTGATTAGGAAAAATTCTATTAACATTTGTTTTTCAAATGGTAACCTATACTTTTAATTTCACAAATTAATAAAGCTATTTTTTTTATGAATTATCACGTTCAAATTTTCATTTTTCATTAATCCGTGGATGAGATATAACTCCTCAAAGGATTAACGAAAAATGAAAATTCGAACGTGAAAATTCATAATAAAATTTGCCTTGTTAGTTTATAAACAATTTTGTGTGGGTTGCCATTTGAAAATCAAAAGTTGATGGTGGTTTACCTAATAAATATAAAGGTGAAAAATATAAAAAAAATTATACAATTCTAGAACAGCGTAAATCTATAATTTTGAATATAAAAAATTTGAAAAAAGTCAATACTTTTTGAGATAATGACTGTTGTACGCTTAGTGAATCACTCTGTATGTTTGATGCAAAGGTTTATAAAGATATGTTTATGTATTATAAATTATAATTAATGTTTGTAGTTAGGGGTATGTATATCAGAAAAAGGAAGTTTAATATTAAAAAGTATATTGAAACAAATTGGCGAAGATCTTTTAAAAAATGTTGATGTCTTAAACAGACTGGATCAGGAAATCGGAGATGGCGACAATGGTTCAACAATTTCACGGTTTGCTTCTGGTAAATTACTACAAATATTAATTTTTTTAAATCTTTAAACAAAAATTGAATTATAATTTAGACTTGCTTACCAATCTAAACAACCTTCCATTAAACTACCCAGCCAGTGTTTTGTATTCTTTGGCATTCATCTGTGAAGACAAAATGGGTGGTGCATCTGGAGCTCTTTATAGTTTGTTGTTGACTGGAGCTGCTGGGCATTTAGCTTCAATGAACTATTTAGACTGGACCGGAGCGTTGAAGAATGCACTAGATACATCTATGAAATATTCAAGTGCAAGAAAAGGAGATAAAACCATGGTGCCTATTGCATTTAAATTTTTATTATTATTTGAATAACCTTTAAACTATCTTATATAAGAGTGACCTTAGATCTTGATCAAATTCCATCAGGTGGGGGGGACGTACCACAGTATCATACCTATTCATTGGTCGGAAGTAGCGCGCTAATTGTAGTGAAGCTATAGTAGCATGGTATTTTAATAGTAGCGATTAACTTAGCGTCGCTACAATACACCTAATGTAGCGATATACTTTAGTGCGCTACTAATTTTCAGTGTAGCAACAATTAACATTATTTTATAACCTAATCTAACCTTTAATGCCTATTTGGTGATAGTTAAAATAATCGTATAACTATTATATTTATTTATTTGTACTATAATAATTATGAGTTTATAAATTAATTTTCAGGTTTAATCCGCATAATTAAAACCTGTCCAGTGACCAAATGTTAAATTAGTACAAACTATAAACTACCAATTTTCATTTAGAACATTTAAAAAAAAGTGTAACAATAAAGTAGCGAGCTAAATTTAAACAATAGGGTTAAAAGCAGCGCACTACATTTAAAAAAAAATAGCGATAGCAAGCTACTTTTTATGGGGGAGTAGCTATAGTGCTACAAAAAAACTAGTCCCGACCACTGCACCTATCGATAAATTGGTTTTTGTCTACTTCGTTGTCAGTTTTTGTTTCCAACTATCAGCTGAGGTAAAAAAAATAAAAATCACTTTAAATATTCTTATACTAGCATAATGCAAGGTAAGCAATTGTTGGTATAATAAAGTATAGCTCTCGAGAGCGCGAGACTCAGTGAACATAGGTCACACCCATTGTAACCACCATGCGTAGCAGTCCGCCAACTGAAGATACTCTTATATGAGACAGAGTATGACGTATTTATTTTAATTTATTGATACAATTTTTCAGTTTGATCCAATAATTGCGATACATGAAGTATTTCAAGAATATGGAAACTTAAATGCTAGAGACTATGTAACAGTTTTAGAAAAAGCATTACACCGAGTACATGACGTCTGCAATGATGTAAAACAAATGAAAGCAGAGTTAGTTTGAAAAAAATATGTTTTAAGTTTTTGTGTACCTAAATAATATAAATTTAATATTGTTATTAATGTTATAGATTTGGTAAAGCTTCTTATGTAGAAAGTGTTACTTCTGTTGGTAAAATGGATGCTGGAGCTTATGGTGTAGCTTTATGGTTCAACGCCATACATACCGCTTATATGGATACATCAAAATAAATACTATTTCATAAAGATTATCAATTTGAGTAGTTTTTGTTATATAATATTTTAGAAGTTTTTTTTACCAATATTAAAATTGAATGTATAAAAAATGATATTTAAGTAAATAAAATAAAATAATGCACATATTTGAAAGTCTATACATTTATAATTTGTAAAAACCAATTCACAATAAATAATAAAAATGCAAGAATTAATTGATCTTATTGATTTTATTTTTATTAGATAAGTATAATGAATTAAATTAGTTAATAAATGTTTATTAAACAGAACCATGGTAGTTAAGCTGTAGACATAAATTACGTATCTGATAATTAATTCATATTTCAACAGTAAAAATGTGTTCTTTACAGTTATAAATACCTACAATTAAAAGTAATTAAATATGCTAATTAATAAAATATTTATATTATCTTAATATAAAAAAAAAATCAGATTTAAGTTTAACTAGTAAGTAGGTAAATCATAATCCTTAGCATGTACTACCTTATTAGGTAGTTTAAATGTTCTTCTGCCACATATCTTACATTATTGTAATAGAGTACAAAGAAACTACACAAGTAAGTTAATAGGTAAATATATCTACATTTAATACAAAATATTATTAATAATTATCCAATATTGACTTAACTATTGAAAAAAAAATATATAGGAAAAGGAACATAAATTGTATTACCTACCTCTATAATTGGTAGATCATTATTTGAAGGTTACTAGTATTTTAGATACAGAAATTATGTTATGGACAATTTATTTAAACATATAATTGATTTTTATTGTATGTACTTATAACAAATTATTAGCTCAGGAATATTAATCTTAAAAATGTTAAATACATAAAATGTAAAATGTGGTTCTTGACATTAATTGTTTAATTTACATTCATTAATTTAATGATTGAAAATTTTGTTAAATTTTAGTTGAACATGAGACTGTTTAATAACCGATGGTCATTTAAATTAACTACAGATGTAGATAAAGGAGAATCAATTAAAAACCTTAAATTTTTTCTTACAATATATAAAGAATTATGATAAAAAACAATTAAATTATGTTTACAAACATTGCATGCCACCACCAGTTCTTTCTTGATAAATTTCTATGACATCGTCATTGATCATACCTAGCTTTTTTGGGGTATCATCATCAGTGATTCGATGACCATCAAACACAAAACGCAGCTCGTCCACCTGAAAACCCAACTTGCTGCAGTATGAGCGTTTCAGGCGAACCAAGGCTGTGGCAGCCTTTACACGGAAGTGCACCTCATTGGTCATATCGCTAGTTATCACGCGTAAACGAATGTATTCATCTGCAGCCGCAGCTTTATCATCAGTAACTTCTAATGCACCGGCATTGGTGTCGCCACCACCTTCTGTACTCTGTTCAGTTGACTCTGCAATGTTGTTGGTTTCAGTCGTTTCAGATGTGGACGGTAATGATTTGGATGCTTCTTCGTCGCCAGACATTTTTCTATAATAAAATTACAATCAATATAGGTAATAATAAGTCATATTAAAACTATTTATAATATTTTATATTGTAGAAAAATACTTGGAAGATATTCTACTTACGATTATGGTGGTGTGTTTGAGCTTTAAAATTAAATTACGTCCCGTCAGGATTTTCTTAATTTTAATATGTCAGTGAAAATTTGAAGACAGTAATAATTGAAATTCAAATCGAACAAGGTTTAATCGACTAAAAATGGCGTCCAGAATGGCGATACAATGACGGCTAGGTGACAGGACCCGCAAAATTACTAAACAGTAAACGCTTCGAGACAGAAACAATGAACTACGGACATTTCACGATACCACGATAGACGCTTTCCTTAACAGTGTACATGAAACGATTACCTACAACGGTGTAGTTGTTGTGGTACGGTGTGCTTTGTTATCAACGGTGTAAAATTCCCTGTTTGGGGAGGAGGGGCAGAGACCCCATTATTTTTAAATAGAATATTATTGACTTGGCGTATAATATCCTCCTTTTAGAAATTTTAATATTCCAGTAATCAAAATTTTTCCATATTTTTGCATCCCCTTTCTATTTTGTTTCCCAATTCAAACACCGGTTAGGTTCAATGGTTTGAGGTCTCCGCACACCGAAGCGGTGGCGGTGTCGGCCAAGACAATAGAATTCAACGCCACCGACGCCGCTGCGGTCTGTTGGTAGCACCACTTTTAAGGTCTGATTGTACTCCTTTTCAAAAGAGAACATACCGTTTTCGCGCATATCGAATGATTCGATTGGTGCGTCGAATACCACGTGATCACACTAACAATGGGAAATTGGTGGGGGATGCGCACCCTCGGACATAAATTGGTCACCGACCGGTATGTTCTCTTTTCAAATAGAGAATACTTTCATACAAATTTGCATTGGAAATGGTTTTTTATACGTTCAAGGAATTTTGACTCACTATTTATCTGGCTATTAATTATAAGTCGTCCAAAAAAAGAAAAATATAATAAAAATCTATTTATGGAAAAACAAAAAGTATTAACTAATAACTTTAGATTATCTTTGCAAACATTTCATTTTGGCGGGAAAAATATAATTTTCAATTCAAATAGATTAGTAGGTATTTAATATTTTAATGTCAATGGTATTAGTGTATTACCGTTTAATAAGTACACTGATTTTTTTAAAATATAAATAATTTATAATAATTAAACATTCAAACGACTTATAATAGATAAATATTAAAATCTACTTAGCAAGTAACGTCGGATTCCATGGCGACTCTTTTATGTTCTTTAATTTCTGTAGTATTATAATATTCGAGACACTTGAGTCTTGAGTAATGAAATAAATCAATCAAAAATTAAACGATCTAGAAAACATGTAACTGTTATACTGAAGGATTACCTGTCCTACTTAATGAGTTATGAACAAGGCCTCAAGGACCTCTGTGTGACTGTGTATAATATGAATGATTCGATGCACTAAACACAATTTACACAAACAAATTAAATTATATAAATAAATGCGATTAAGCATTATTCTTTACATCTTAGAACAGATACAAGTGATACGACCTGTAAAGGATTAAGGAATGGTTTACGGAGCCCATGCCCAACAATATGTATGTATACCCAAAAGTTTAATGAAACCACGTTAAAAAGTCCTAATGTAAATTGTACTCTACGTCTCTACTCTCAATTTTCATACTTGACCATGACCATGACTGATTGATTTGTATGTTGCAGTGGCGTCGCGTACAGCATACACTTCACAAAATGAAAAAAATATTTTTTATACATTATTCATAAAGTGATTATCTCGATTAACGATGACCCATCTTTGGCCTCCGCATATTTGCAAACCCATCTAGGAATGATGGAAACTGGAAAGATGGTATACCAAATGGAAATTTAAAGTAAACCAAAATAAATCACTAAATCAGTACACACCACTTTTACACTAAGACAAGCACCTTGCCCAAGGGTACTCTACTTTATGGCATCCCTATTCCATCATCGCCTTCAGTAAAATACCTTGGTATAACCCTCGATCAACGCTTAACCTGGGCTCTACAGATACGTGAAAAAAGACTATCCCTAAACAATCGGCTACGTATGCTTAAGAATTTAATTGGTAACAAATAAAGCCACCCTTATTAATATCAAACTTCTCTTGTATAATACCTTATTAAAACCCATCTGGACATACGGATTGCAGCTATGGGGAAATGCTAAAAGGTCAAACCTGAATAAGATTCAAACTTTCCAAAATATGACCTTAGGGAAATTATTTAACGCACCTCCATACATATCAAACCATATTCTACATTTAGACTTAACTTATATACTATTCATGACGAAGCTAAACGTTGTTATAAAAAAGTTCATAACTGTCTATCCTCTCATTCAAATTCACTCATTAAAAACTTATCATCCCTCACAATCCCAGGTAGCCCTCCAAGGCGACTTAAACGTAAATGGTGCAGATATTTATTATTTTAAATAATAACATATAAGATATAACTAAATATATAATATATATTATAATATAAATACCTACTAACATATAACTAAATCGCATATGAATAAACCAAGACGAAAGTGTCATCAGTGGGTGGCTTCTTTCCTCAAATTTATGTATATCGCCCTATTGTTTGTTTCCCTTATCGCACATATACTTGTTATGTCTAAGATATAAATTGTATATTTTCTTCTAAAAAAAAAAAAATATATTATTCATATTTATATTTTTATAAAAATGTCTTAAATTTGATTCTACTAATTTAGCGCTTTGTAATATAATATTTTGTGGATTTTTTTCCAAGTTCATTAATCATTATTCATTAGGAATTAGGATTGATTAATCTGTAACACCGTGGCCTCGACGAGCTATAGTCCTTATATCTATAGTGTGTATGGTACCTCGGTACCTTGTTTATTATGTAAGCAGTATGCAAGTAGGCGATTGCATACGGGTACAGACTTTCAGCGACAGACTGTGGCGGATTCAAGGGAGGGGCACAGGGGCACGTGCCCCCCCTGTCAATTTTATATCGACAATTTTTTTATTTTACTCGAACTGTCGCTGACAGTTATTTATAGTTCTTATCGATAATATCATAGACAAGTATATAAAATTAATATTAATAATAATATGACATAGAACGCTTGCGGACGTGTATACGTCACTCGTGTATGCGGGGATCAGTATTGCATAGTGCATACGCTATCGTTGACAGTCTATTATAAGTTTTCACGTGCATTCATTTTTAAAATGTGATTTACTTTTAATTTATTAAATATAATATTTCGTTATGTACTAGGTAATCTAATATATATTAACGAATACGTAAACTTTGTATGTTTAAAGTAAAATTTTAAAAACAATATAGGAGGTGTGGGGGCATAGCCCCCAACGATTCCATTAAGGTACCATTTCGCTATAATACTTCTATACTATTTTGTTACATGTTGTCATTGAAGAAAAAAAAGTTGTATTGCGCATGCGCAAGTCTAATTAAGTTAAAAAATTTCATAAGCCATCAAAAAGTGTATTTTTATGTCATTACAACCAACTAGAAAACAGAATTCAAATTACAGGGCCCTACTCAAAGATATTATCGAGTGTTCTCAATTAGCGATTACACACTGTATATAATTATTGTTGTATGATAATATATTATATCTATGGTAATTGGTAAATAATAAAATATAAAACTTTTATCTCATCTGATTTCTCTTATCTGATAGTGAAGTCAGTCCGATACTGATTACTGACATCAGTCGTGGGTCCGGCAACTTGACGGTCCCGCATTTTGATTTTCATTTTGAATTGCAATTTATTATTACTTAATTCAACTATTTCCATATAGCATTCTAGCCCTGCTGTCTGCAATATTGTGCAACTTGTTTTGATCCTCATCTGGACGTCCTTTGTTCATTGCAAACTGCAGTAGCGCACTTGCAACTCGCATTCGACGATCGTCATTCATATTTCATTCTATCCAAATCGGCACTACAGAAATCATGCTTTTGAACAAAATACCCAAATGTCTGACGGTCAAGGCTAGCAGCGTCCAATGTCTTTCCTATCATAAAAATGTAAGCATTGAAATTGATCACATTAAACTATGATATTAGTGTATTTACCTCAGGGGCGGAGCAGAGTAATATTAATAATAATCAAATTACTCTTGTTGTATACAATTATATTAAAATCATTTGATGCAATTTGTTCTCATAATCATTGTCTTAATAGTAAATTCTAAACGTCAATTGGACAAATACAAATGGCCGACCCCTTATATAGTATTATCCATTTAGTCTATATAGTTACAGTGTCAGATGTTTTGAATACTATTTGACAAGTGACAACATCACATAATTATACTTTATTGTATTCATATTAATTAATATTTCCCACAGGTGATTGATCATTATGAAAATCCCCGTAATGTCGGAACGTTAAATAAAAATGACAAGAATGTTGGAACTGGATTGGTTGGCGCACCGGCATGTGGTGATGTTATGAAGTTACAAATTAAAGTTGACGATGGTGGTAGAATTGTTGATGCCAAGTTTAAAACTTTTGGCTGCGGATCTGCTATTGCTTCTAGTTCACTAGCTACAGAATGGGTTATGGGAAAAACTGTTAGTTTATACATATATTTATTGTATTCTATGATCTATAACAGCGTTTCCCAAACAGTGGGTCGCGACCCACTACCGGGCCATAACAAATTTAATACCTGGTCGCAAAATTTAATGAAATTCTCATATTAAATTTGTTATTTATCATTTTCGTTTGATAATTTAAACTTTTAAGTAAAAATAAATTCATTAATACGAATAAATATTATTTACAACATAAATAATAATTTTTGAGATTATCAACTATCTACATGAAAAACCCGAATAGTATGACATTTGCCGTATCTATCACGTCGCGTTATGTCCGTCATGTCGCGTGAAAATAGGAAATTACGAGGCTTTTACAATGCTGACAGCATTTCCAAAAGAGAATAACATAAGTTTCATGCCACACAATACATCAGCTCTTATTCAGGAACATTTGCAAGGACTGGAAGCTAATCTAAAAGAATATTTTCCTCCAATTAACAGTAACAAAGCATGGATAAGAAACCCATTTTCAATCAATATTAAAACAACTTTTTCGGACTTAAATGTTGAATCATTAATTGAACTCTCGTGTGATACGGCACTCAAAGACATATATAAGGAACGGCAATTAATAGATTTTTGGTTATCTTGTCGTCAAGGGTACCCAGTTGTAGCAGAACAAGCGATACATTTTCTAATGCCTTTTGTCACGACCTATAAGTGTGAAACAGGATTTTCAACACTCGTGTTCATGAATAATAAATACAGGAATCGGTTGGAAGTCGAACCAGACTTAAGAATAAAATTAACGTCCTTTCCAGCAAACTTGGAGTTCCTAGTCAAAAATAAACAGCTTCATACTTCTCACTGATAGTAGTCAACTAATACAATTAGTAACTATATTATAATTATTACATTGTAGTTTCAAAATATAAATTAACGCTTTAATTTTATTATACAATTCTATGTAGATATTCAAATGTGTTTTATTTTGCCCTTTATTACACAATGATAAACGTAAAATATTTTGGTGGGTCACGAAGGTGAAAAATATAATTTACCGGGCCAGCCCAAACAAAAGTTTGGGAAACGCTGATCTATAATATAACTATTTATATATATATTTATTTAAATACCTAATGTATTATAAGGTTGATGAAGCACTTTCCTTAAAGAACACGGACATCGCCAAAGAACTATCTTTGCCACCAGTGAAGCTTCATTGTTCAAGTAATTTTTGAGTTATTATATGTAATAACAATAGTTACATAAGTTAAAATATATAAGATTGGATTTTTAGCTATAATTTCTTCATTCTAATTACAGATTACTTGCCAATATACCTATTTCTTTTTTTGCTATAGATATTTTGATATATTTTTATAATTTAATAATTTTTCTTTTATAGTGTTGGCTGAGGATGCTATTAAAGCAGCATTATCTGATTATCGCATTAAACAACAAGAGAAGAAAAAATCAGAAGACCAGGAATAATGAACGTGTAATCTAGAATTAATTTTATAAAATTGTTTTTGTTGTCTTTGAAATTATCATATTTTTAAATTGCATAAAAAAAATTATAGATACTATATTTATAAATGATTAGTATAATATAATCTCATATTTTAGCAATTCTAGTTTAAAATAAACTATTATTATATATTTGAAAATATTATTAACCTGGTATAAAATTTCTAAATCAATTATTTTCATCATGAAAATTTAAATAATTACAGTTACTTAAAATTTAAATTAGTTCATAGTATAATATTGATTAATCGTAAAATAATACTTAAAACAATATTTTTGAACATATTATTACAGTTTGTATTACAAATTCACATTTTAATGAAAATATTACAATGGTCATTAACATGTGAAAAATACTCATATGATATTGTACAATAAATTAGATGATCAAAAACTTAAGTGAATTCTTCAAGAGTAAAGTTTGAGAAAGCATTACACTTTCAGACCAAGGTCTTAAAAATATGCACACAAATATTACAAGGAAAAAAAGATTTTTTGTTATTGCCCTAAATTGGTTCCTCACTACAAGTTACCACTATGCGTCGTTTCATTCAGCGTTCTTCAAACTAATGATTTTGTGGCATCTAAAAGTATGAATAAGGTTACATATTCAATCGACTGCCATAATTATATATTCTCAAGATTGATAATTGCTATCATATGAAGGAGATTTAAAGGTATGGAATATATTATAAAGGAGAATCCGTTTAAAAAACTTTAAGCTATAATTTTACAAAAATGGTAAACCACTTGGAAAACTGCATTTTAAAGAAGATAAATTTTGATAATCTAATTTAAACACAAAAATAAATTCAAGAACATAGTACATGATTAGAACTAAATACAAGGCCGGCGCTATACATTTTTTTAGGGGGGGGGGGTGTTCACTATAATTTTCTGACTATATTATATTCAACATACTCAATGACTCAAGTAATTTACATTCACAAGTAAATTTTTTAATAAATACATCTAATTTGTTCGTCTCATGAAAAGAGGATATTTATTAGGTTAAATAAATTAAGGGGCCTCGCTACGGTCATTATATAAAAAAGGCTAGATTTAGGCTAATCTTGTCATAGCCACCTGTGATCTATGTGTTAGTTGTAAATGATAATTAGTGTGAGTGAAACTAAATGAGGGTATCCTCTCTCGTTCGCGCAAGCACATGTCAATAACTCGATAACTATATCAATTTCACTACACAAATTTTACAAAAACATACATTTGTTTTGACAAATTTAAAGTTAGTTAACGTTGTCTGATTTTGATTCTGAAAAAATGTAGATCGTACCAAACATTTTCCGTTTTTAATATTAATTTTAATTTTGATTTGAAATAGTTGATATTTTCAAGTTTCAATTACAGTTCACAATAATATAAAATTTAGATTTTGCAAAGTGCTTCGTAGAATCTAGATAATTGTCTGGTGAGTTCAATTTTTTTTTCAGAATCAAAATCAGTCTATGTTAACTAACTTTAATTTTGTCGATACTTTAGGTCTTTTCAGCTAAAATTGACGGCAGTAGCGAGGCCCCTTAATGCAAGTTGCTAGATCATTAGACATTGTTTATTAAAAAGAAAATATTTTTTAAAAAAAATTACAATATTTTTATAATATATTAAGTCGTCTTTCTTTAAGAATATCTCAATGTTTCACTATGAGATGAATATCAATTTCATCAGTTAAATATTTGTTACAATTTAATAAGCGATATACTCCCGTAGTAGAATGTAAACAATTCTTCACAATCTTCAATTTACTGTAAGTGTAATAGTTTGATGCAGTACGAACCGGTGCTGTAAAAATCAATCTGCATATTTTATTCCCAATGGGCAAAATATGTTTTAATTTTTCGAATTCCATTCTGTAAAAAGCTTTTATGACGATTATGCACTGTGTACAACCATTCGAGTATATCTTTTTGGGCTTCAATCTTCTTCGATGTTGTTGATTAAAATTTTCTTCTGGGTTGATATTTAATTTTTTAGCAAAAACTATTGCACTTTCTATTAACATTTTATTAATTTTTTCTACTGACATTTTATTTTTACTCACGGTTAAACCGTCAATAGTATGTGTTAGTAACATTAAAGAATCAGTTATATTTAATTCTGTAGCTTCCTAGGTTTTCTGTGAAGATTTTTGTTTTATACATGACATTTTTATAAATAACAAGCAAATTACAAAGTCAAAACTGAGAATTTTTTTAGAGGGACCTAATGCAAGAGTAAATGTTTTTTTATCCATAGATTTTAAGTCTGACATATCTTGTAATGCATCAATAATTTGTTCATATGATATCCAAACAGCTTTAATTGATTCAGCCCTTGTAGTCCATCAGGTTTTTGATACACTTGTTCAACAAATGTATTCAATTGATGCGCTTGGCATGGAAAGAATGGAATTTTGTGACCAACAATATCTGATAATTTATGCCAAATATTTTTTGTTATCTATTTGTAGTTCTTAAATGTTATTTACTATTATATTAAGTCATAATCATAAATTATAATAAAATCATAATTGCTGATTTGCCGACTAAAATGAACCAGGTGTTGTAAGTTTGTGGGGGGGGGGGGGTGTAACAACCCGCCACACCTACCACTAAATTTGGCAATGACTAGATATTAAATATTAATTATTATAATACTCAATTTAAATATATTATAAGTTGACAAAGGTATATTGATACTCATTGATATTGATAAAGATCAAAAGTAGAATTCATTATTCACCATAATTGCAAAAATACACAAATCAATTAAACTAGTAAATTATAAAACATTTATACATTCATTATTGCTTCTAATATAAAATGGCATAATACAAAATCATATGTTTATAAAAATCATTTATTTACAAACACAAATCACTTAAGATAATATTTGTTATAATTAACTGAGAAAATATTAATTTGAGTTGAATATACAAAATTATAAATACTCTATTAAAAAAAAAAATTTAATGCAAACAAAAACATTTTTTTTTTTTTAATTTAATACTTAATTTAGGAATGTGGATTAAAGATAATCACAATTTTGAAAACATTAAATTTTAATACTGTCTTTTTTTAAAAATATAATAAGTATATAATTCTGGGGCTTGGGTCAAAAAGGGCCAATCTCACTTTTAATCACTTTGTTAGTAATCAAGAATAAAACCGCTTTTTTTTTTAAGGGCCAAAGTCATAATTTTATTTAAACAAAAAGGGGCCGATGCTCACATAAGCCCCATAGATTTTGTAATTTTCATGACATTGGCCTTCTCATATCTCGCACTAATGATTATAGAGATACGCATTGTTACCACTAGATAAAGAGTATATAGTTTTATAAGATTGGCCATATAACTCATTTAAGCCAAAAAGTGAGATTGGCCCTTTTTGACCCAAACCCCAGATTATATATTATATAATATACTATATACATGATCCTTAAGATAATTTAAAAGTAAAAATACTGTTTATGTTTAAATCTCATACTTAGCTTTTCAGCCCATTTTGAGTTATTTAAGCATCTAATAAAGATCTTATTTCGTATAACACAAAGAAAAAAAACATTTCCATAATTCTAAAATGTCTAATTTTTAAAAGCCAGTTTAGTGTCAGCAAAGTAGACTTATTTAAATTATCATATACTTTGAATTCTGATTAAAAGTTTTATTTCAGATTTTTCACTCTGAGTCAGTGCTAGTTAATCTTTTTTCTTTGGTTTTTTCGGATTACGACTCCTGGATTTGGCTTTACATAATGGACAAATTGGAGCATTACGATGAATTTGTTGATGGCACGATAAGCATGATTTCATTGGTGGTGGTTGTTGTCTAAAAAAATAAACAGTATACATATTAATAATGATAATTGTTAGAAAACTAAATATTTAATTATATAAAATATAATAATATAATAATATTTTATTAATATTTTAATTTTTGAAAAATGTATTTTAGGTTATTTGTTTTTTTTTTTAGACTTGAATTATAGCATTTAAGACTAGACAGCTAGTACTATAGTAGGGATTTTTAATAATCTTCAATTTATGGTACAAACATAATCTAAAAACCAAAAAAACTCAAATGCCATAAACTATAGTTTATAGGTATATGCTACAATTTAAGATGTACCATATAATTAGTATAATATCTTAAACAGTAATCTATGTTGAATACTAAATTGTATAAAAAAAGATATCCGTTGACTATTAAATAAAATCCCTGGTGTTTGAAAAGCCCATATTAATTAGCTAAAAAAACAATTAATTATACATTTTTAAATAAAATTGAGACTCGATAACTTTTAATTTTATTCTTGCCCCTTGAAGTGTGTTTTTAATTTATGTGTGAGGAATACACCTTAAAAAATAGGTAGTTAAATTTATTTTTATTTCCTTGAGATTCCAATTATTGAGACTACCGTATTATGATTAATGATTCAATATTACGTTTTTAAAAATACTTATGTATTATCTTGTAAAATATTATACAGGAGAACTCCGATTATTCAGACTAATTAATGTCTAGGGTGGTCCAGATAAGCAAATATCCGGATGATTGACATATGACATTTTAAAAGTTATCTAGGAGCACGACAATTCACTCGTTATAATAATATAACAATTGACAGACTAAACTGTGGGACGATTACACAACAACTGACCACTGGGGAGTGCATAGGGGATTTTTGCACCCCCGGGTTAAAAATGTGCATCCCCAAAATATAAAAGATTTAATCTATTGAAGTAAATATTATCAATAAATAAAAAAATTGGGTACTTCACTATTATGTTCTAACATTCCCAGCTATAACAGTATAACATAATATAATGAAATAATCTTTAGCTTAGGACCTTTTTTTTTTTCGTCCGTTTGATTGGCGTTCGGATAATAGGAGTTCTACTGTACCAATAAATTAATTTCTTAACTAAAATGCTTGTTGATTTTAATTACTGTAAAATAAAATAATATAATAATAATAACCAGTGGCATATTTAGGGTGGGGTTTCAAGTTGAGGGGTCACAATAAATAACTTTTATCATGCATTTAAAAAAATGAAAATAATAGTGAATTATTTTATTATTTTAAGAATATTTATGTTTAAAATAAACCAGACTGAAAAAAAGTTTTTTATGTGAAGACCAAAAATTAGTATAACTTAGAAAAATTTAGAGATTTTAATGTTTCACTTGATCACAGTATTAACAAAATAGAACAAAGATTTTGTAATGATTCTTACTTTTTTAAAGCCAATTACATTAATTGTACTATACTATTAGGAAATTTAATACAAAGTAGAAAATAATACAAAAAAGTATTTTATCAGAGTTTGCACACCAGAAACTATATTGTTTCAATCATGATTTAAGGATATCATATTGACTAAGTCCAAAACAATGTAAGAAATTGAAGAAATGTTATTAATTTAATATTCTCCTCTTACAACATACCCTGATGTAAGCACTGCTTTTAATTTAAACTTGACATTACCCATCACGGTTGCAGCAGCAGAACGATCATTTTCAAAACTGAAAATAATAAAAAATTATTTACGAGGTACGATAGTAGCCTTTGGTTTATTAATTATTTCCATTGAAAATTCATTTAGAGGAAGCCTTGGTCTTTGGACAAATTGGCTAAAACGAAGGGTAAAACTTTTAATTTTTGAGTACCTATACAATGTTATTCTTTTAAATAAATTTATAAGTAGTAAAACAGTTATATTATAAGTTATTATAATTTTTTTTTATTAGCTTTTATCATCACTATTTAATCATTTCTTTGTTTAAGGGACTTCACCCCCAATAGGGCCACCAAATCTTACACTATGCCACTGATAATAACTAATATATTATATATTTTATTAATATCATGCCTTAAAAAGTTTAAACTATGAGTACCTAGTACAAAATACATATAAAGGTTAAGAATTGCATGTTAAACAAAAGCAATATAAACATTCCATATAATAATACATAGAATACATATATGTTGTTTCATTATAAGTACCTGAATGCTGGTGGTCCAGGAATTGGAGGTATTGGTCTAGTATCTACAGGTCCACCATTAACCATTTTGCTACTTGTGGCAAGTTGTTGAAGTGGAGCTGCTTGAGATCCAAGAAAAGCTGCTACAGCTGCTTGAGCATGCTGATGTGCTTGAGTTAAGTTCTGCACACTATCGCCATTATGCCAATCTGAATTTGGGGGTGTTGACACAGCGGGTTTGATTTGTTTCTCAAAATAGGTTTGGACAAATAAACTGTAACATCAATAGTTCAAATTAATTACGACAAAATCTAAGATGATTAGAAAATTGTTAATATATTTTGAAAACCATATTATTCAAAAACGTTCAGTCATTTTTACTATTATTGGTATGTCAAATATAACTACCATGCACACCAGCAATACAAAATAATGGAAGCCAATCATGAAGTTAGCATTAGAACAAAGTATAAAACTACAAATTAAACAAAACTAAGCCACTATTAATAATTTAAATAATTTCCATTAAATGTATCAAATTAATTTATATTTATATTTTCTTTTGTAAACTCATATTTACAGTTTTATTCAAATCATTTTTTAAATTTACATTATTACAACTTACAAATTACCTATTAAATTATATAATTATATTTTAAAAAGCAAGATAATCCTATAACTAATACCAATAGAATAATATAGCCATACAATAATTTAATACTAGGTAAATTTAAAACTAAATGCTTACTCTGGTCGCACAAGATCACTTTCTTCTTCGTGAAGTTCTGGTAACCGTTCAAGACCAAGTAAATCTCTACGCATAAGGTCAATGTCTGTTTTAAGAGGTTTATATTCATCGTGGACTTGTTTAGCACGTTCCATAGAACGATTTCTAGATTCTTCAGCTTTTTTTATTACACTTTCCATCTGCAAATAGGCCATGATATATAAAATTATACATTTATAATTCTAAATTTGAAAATATTTAAACAAACCGCATTTATATCAGCATGTATCTGTCTAAGTTCTTCTACATGTGCCATTTTTTCTTGTAGTAGCAGTTCCAATTCTTTGCGATACTCAATAAGACATTTATCTTCTTGATCACTTGCTTCAATTTCTTTCAAAATGTTCATTTTTAGAGTTTCCAATTTTTCAGTTTTGTCTCTAAAACAATAATATTGTACATTGCATATGAAAACAACGTATTTCAACAAACAAAACATTCCAAGTGTAACCGTCAGTTATTTATTTAAGAAAAAAATAAAGATTTATCCCACCAAGATTGAAGATAGGCAGACCCATGACTAAATTAATTAATTTAGTCATGGATAGATCTATACCCATTTACAACAAACAGTTATAGATAACCTACTGCTTAGGAAAGAAACCAATAAGAATGTCATGAAATATGAAGTACCTACTCGGTAATTTATCAAAATAATGGTTAGTTTGAGTTCAATATGGTCCATCCATCGTCAAGATGACTACCCTGTCGATCACCACGTTGTCTAAGACCGTGAAAAGTCCATCACAAGATCGTACACACAAGACGGGTGGACGTCCGAAAACACGGATAAGGGTGGCATTGGGGGACGAGGGCACGAAAACGATCGGTGAACGACAAGTAATCAGACAACGAGACGGGACAAATGATTAACGAGCCCTCCGGCGGGGATGGGGCTGCTGGGCCTAACTTTGCTCGGCCCAGGCGGGCACGTACGATCTCGTGTCTCACCTGATATCTTTCAACGCGTCGAGTTTCTTGAACATCTCGTCGCTCTGGACTTCTTCGGTCATGTTTACGGACATTACGGTGTTGACACCCGGACGAACGATCAAAACAACAACAACAACAACAACGGTACGCTAGGACGTGTCCTGCGGCGGTAAAATCGATATTTTAACGCGCTGCGGGGCGAGTGTCGTGAAAAAACGGAGCGGATGGTCGGGAAGATGACCACCGCGGGACCCAGATGCACGGACAGTCACCGTTATCAGTGTAGCGTTATCAATGCGCAAAAAGGGTGTTTGGCGTTTGCGAAATTCGTGATCCCCAAAGTTAATTTTCTTGAGGCAAATCATCGGTTTCGTCGGCGTTTGCACCGAAACCGAAACCGCTAGCCCCGAGCCTACACCTTGGACACAATATCGGCTTCCCATTTCCCCCCGTTGCGGTTGTTATTCATTTCCGTTCACTTTTCGGTTCCGCGATCACGATGCGCAATCAACCGTCGGAACGATCGGACCAATATCCGAGAGTCCGACTATCATGAATCATAATAATAATGGACAATAGTTCAGCGATATTAATATCGCTTTGGCTCCCGGTCACGCAAAACCGTGGGTTTTTCTTTTCTTCCACGGAAGTGCGGTCGTCGTTGCCGCCGCTGATCGACTCTTCCACGACCGTCATCGTCGGTAAAAAAAAATAATATAATTGTAATATCGGTCGCTCGGCGCGGGTCGCGCGGTGCGCGCACAGCTGATTCCGACGTTTGTTCAGTCGCAAATCGCAATAACGAAGCTGTGTTGACGACGTCAGTGTACAACACCATAAACACTGTCCAGAAGTCTTTATTCCGATTTTACACACACACACGAACACAATCCCACGAATCACGCGTAAGTATACAACACACATATATATATATGTGATGATTATTATTATTGTATAATAATATTATATCTATATACGTCGTGCTTGCACAATACACACGTCGTCACACACACACGACGATCATCTGTATAATAATAATATTCTACGATCGTTTTATTATTTGTTGTAGCCGCAACAGCACTGCTGCACCGTGGACTCGAACGTTACGTGTGGCAATTGATCGCAGTCGATCGCTTTGTGTGCTGTTGTCGAGTTGTCACTGGTCTCGTGTTCAGCTGCGTCCACCGACTCTCCGACGGTTCTCTGCATTGTCGACGTCCGTGTCTCTGTCCGCACACGATACCTCTCACACGCCCACATTTGTCGCCGTCACCATCGTTCGCACTCGACAAAATGGTCTTGTTGAAAACAACCGTGGTCGTCTTGCTGGCCGTCGCGTGCGTGTCCGCCGCCGCCACCACCAACAACTCGACCGTCGTCAAGACGCCGCTGGCCGCCGATGTCCACCAGGAAAAATCTGACGTGTCCGTCAATCCCGGTTAGTATCCGCCATTGTGCCCCCGATCGCTAGATTTACGACGACGGCGGCGGCAATAGAGTATAATAATAATATTGACAGTCGTCCGTTCAAGGTCAACGGCGACGTCACGTACAGTACGCTTCGCCGTTGGTCTCCCAATCGGTTTTCCTCTCGGATCGCCATTGTCCGACGGGCCTGTCGCGCACGCCACCGGAAATCACAAAACACTACATACATAACTTGCCGAGGGTTTTTTTGCGATTGCACCCACATCGCCCACCGATTCCGTGGCGTTTCGATTGTGACTTCCGTGCTCCGCATGCCGTCCACCTCCCTCCCTCCCCCTGCCCACCACCCACTGGACTTTGGTCGCGGTGTTTACAAGTTGCGTTCGCGACGTCACGTCATTACTCATTTGTGACTTGTGAGCGCATAGTTGTCATTGCTATATCTATTATAGGCCATAATAATTATTATAGTGTTATTGATTTATCGCCAATGATTGTTTTCTACGTTAACTCTGGTATCCGCCCCCGGCAGTTTTTCTCTCTTGTTGACTGTTTTCAAACACTGCTCGGTGCTTACTGTGTTCAAGGTTGAGAAATTAGGCCACAATGGTTTTGACTGTGTCACTGCGACTGTAGATGATTAAAGAGTTATTTCTGTTTATAGAAATACGACCGATACAACAAAACTGCCTTAACAGCATGTAATATTTCTCATATATCGCAACCGACTGATTGAATTATAATACAGATGTGGTGGTTCATTGTTGTTTAACAATAGCGTGTCTTTGATAACTTTTTACATTGTGCTACCATTATTTCTGATAAATGCGTCACAGTGAATAGGGCCTTTTATATTTTTCTGCTTTTAAACAACTTATTGGATTAATAATTATTATTATCGCATTTGATGTATTGATATTGAGTCAATTTAAAAAAAATGTTATCTTGTTTTTACAAACAAACTGATGAATTGATCATATTATGACTTTGTCCTTTCTTTATAGTTTTAATCTATTGCATGTTTGAAGTAAATTATCTTACAAATTATAGAATATTTAATTTTGTTAGTATGAAATATCTAGCTAGTAAGTAATAATACAGCCATAAATGTATTAATAATTTTGTTAAAATATTGACTTTTGTTATTAGGAATAAAATAAATTATGATTTATGAGTATTGAGTATGTTTTAATTAGTAGGGTAGTTAAATATAATATTGATATTATCATTAAACTTGAATGAGTTAAACAAATATGGTTTTCTATACTCGGTCCAAATAAGAGCTCACCGGTTATGCACACTTTTTTCCCCTTCCACCAGTCACCATAATATATGCCTTTATGTGGACGCCGAACGGAAACAGGTCACCGCCCGGTGCGCTCTTATTTGTACTGGAGTATCGCATTTCAACACATTATGTAACAATTTCATTTTAAATAAGCATTGATTACCTACATAAGTAAAATTGTCTTTAAGTTACTTCATTAATTCTTTTAACAAAATAGGTAATGTTTTTTAGGTGAATAAATAGGTAATAATGTAAATATTTGTAACATTTGATTTTTAGCTTACATTATTGCTTATTGTTTCATACTGCAGTTAGAACATTTTACTGTAGTCTAATTTTTACCTTGTGTTTTTAAATCTCAATGTTTTGTGGGTACCTAATGTAAATGTATTTTTTTCTCCATTGTGTACTGGTAATTTACCTTTCATATAATATACAGGAAATTTAATATCAAAACAAACTATAAAATGTCAAATTTGAAGTAGCATATTGTTAAGTAATTATCAAATATTTACTGTAGGTATTTGTATTGTATTTGATAGTGTATATTTAATATAACGATAAATGTCGATAATTATCTAAATCAATTTTCTTTTGATAAAATAAATTGATTTTTTGTACTGACCTTTGTTTTTCAATTAATGGTCCAATACATTCTATGGCAGCTCGTTTCGTCCATGTTAAATCACATTTATATTGTACTTATTTTTAAGCACTAAAATTAACTTATATCTGGAATCTTTCGTTGTTTATAATATTTTATTATTTTATCTTAATTTTTAAGCCTTATCTTGTCAGACTAGGCTTGGATAATGCCTAATTGTTTGACAATTTTTGTTTAATCTTTGTAACATTGTTTATCAATTTTAATTGGAAAAAAATACTTTGATCTATGTTATACATGTTTTGACATTTTAAATACCATTTACAATGTTGACTAATTGATCTTATCTATTATTTCAATAGAGTCTTATTCTATTTCAGTTTTGTTTTTGAAATTGATCACTTAAGATTCTTAGTGTAATGAGGATGCAGGGGGTGTCATTTCAGTTTTTTTTAAAGTTTGTGCCAACATTTTTGCAGGCCATTTAAAAATCATTATCGGGTCGCAATCTTAGGCACCCAATGAGGGAGGGTTCAAGGGAAGACATACCTTCTCTGTAGCCTGTATAATATTTGTGCAATTTATTTAATATGTTGTCACTTATATAATATATTAGTACCTATGAAAATATAACCATTGTTACTATTTTTGTACTAATTAATTATGTGTACAATTACTTATAATGTGTTTATTTGTGTACCTATTTGTTTTGTGGTACCTAGTAGGGTACACTTATTAATTAAGTGTATGGGTTTAAACACCTTAATAATCAAATTATTAAAATTTTTATAAAACTTCTCACTGTGCTCGAAATTTGAAATAAACCTGAAATTTACTCTGAGCACCCTTGCTTACAATTGCACAATACAGTGTGTCCCGTGAGGATTTACTCATTAGCCGCAGAGAGGGACTCGCCGCCCGGACAAAAACCAGTTTATTGACGTTTTACTAATAAACTAAAAAAATTATTAAAAATCATGAGATTAATGAAAATAAAATGTTAAAAGCTCAAAATGTTCACAAAAATATACTCTATAGAATGGCTATCTTCAATTTTTTCAAAAATAAAAAAATAATTTTTTTAACTTTTTTTACTAAAAAATTTAATTTAATTAAAAAATAAAATATTTGTAGTGCTTACCTCTGCGAGTCTTAATAAAAAAACATAATTACGATATCTCCATTATTTCAGGAGATAACGCAATGAGTAAATCCTCACGGGACACCCTGTATATACAGGCCACTTAATTTATATTTATATATTTTTCCATTTCCTATTTAAATTTAACAAGTTAAATTCAATTTAATAACTAACTATGGAGTTATAAATAGAAAAAAAACCATTTACTTATTATGTATCATAAAACAATTTTATATAAGAGGATATCTTAGATTTTTCAACTTTGAAAATTTAACCAATGTATGGCTTGGGTTAATATATCTTATTTTTCTAATCTACCACCCACCAATTAGTCACTCAAGGGCTCATCTTCCATAACTTACCTGATGTAAGATTCAATTATCTTAAGTCATGAGAACAATTTTTATTCGAAGCTGTACTTCCAGTACCTAGGTAAAGTTAGAATTAAAGATATCATTTTTAATGTTTCTGATAATGCTACTGGAAAATCAGTTCATCCAAATTAAGATTGTTTTTTTTTTTTTGGATAATTTAGGATTTTGCGAAGAGAAATTTGGATACAATTTTTGACTTAATAAATGGAAAATAATTAGTGGATTATAAAGAATATTAATTGAGGGCAGTTAGGAGAAAAAAACTTTAATTGACACATCAAAGACTTCAAACATCTTTAACAAATCTTTGCTCTAGAAAAATCGCATCAATAGTTTTTGAAAATATGAAACAATCAATTTTTTTTTTAAAAGATACTGGCTCAATATCTATTTTAATACACTTAGGTAGGTATATCCAATACCTGCACATGTATTTTATTTTTTGCTGGAGAAGTTTAAAAGTTTGGTAAAAATGCACCCCTACCCCTAAAATGACGCCCATGGAGAAATATTGATATTTTTAAATGTGATAGTAATCAGACATAATTAAAAATATATACATATTAATTATATTATATACCAGACCTGTAACCTTAATATAAAAAGCGACTGATTGAATTCATATGCAGCCTCGCAAACAGCATCGTATAAAATGATTACCCTACTCCAGGGTTGACCAACGTAATACTATGATTTTTTTTAGATACCTTTTCAAAACTTTCAAATAAAAGTAAATAATAATTATACATTTTTTACAAATAATAGTAACATGGTTAATAATATATGTAATCTAAAAAAAAATAAGACAACTTTACAAATATCCTTAAATGTATTTCACCCATTTGATTTGTCTTAATGGTATATTTTTGTATTATAAATTGAATACCGGTTAAATATAATAAGAAATTACTCATTAAAATAGTAAAGATACCTATTAATTATAGAAATATAGAGAAATATCTACACTTTAGATTAGGTAAATGACATAATTTCAGGCCTGGTGGCTGGGTGATAAATTGTATACAGCTCTGTTGTGGTGATAACAAACAAGTTATGGTTATTTCAAGCATCAATTTAGTTTAATTGCTAATCATTATTGTTCAGTCTATCTACAACTTTCCTATTTCTCCGTATTTGAAGTTCTACGCAACAACACATTTTTTGGAAGAATTATATTTTTATAATAAGTCTAAAAAATATTATATAATCAACATTTTAATTATTTATTTTTAACAAATCATTAGAATTTATTATTTTGAAAGCTTTTTAACATAGATATATTTTTGGGCTGGACTCAATCTAACCGATTTTGTGTACCCAATGTTAATTGACATAGAAACACAAATCAAAAATTAAAATATCTATGATTCCTCAATCTTCTTTGCAGAGCAAAAATATCTATATTATAGTAGCATTTCACTTGTATTTTAAAAATTATATTATAAGAACCTCTGTAAAAATATTTTACTTGTTACTATATTTTATCATAATTTTTATATATACATTTTTTTTTTTAGAACCTATTAAACCATCAACACCTGTAAACAACCTGACTACTACAGAATCTACACCAGATAACAAAACGACTACAGCAACAACACCTACTTCAACATCAACCACAACTCCAATACCAACTACTATTGTACCACCAAATGGTACAACAACTACAGTTAAACCATCAACAACTACACTTAAACCATCCACAACTACACTCTCACCAAATGGTACAACAACTACTTTGAGTCCTAATAGTACGACTGTTGTTCCTCCGACTACAACAGAGCCATCTCCAGCACCCTCTCCGGCTAGAAGTTGGGATGGTCCAAGTTTCTTAGGTATGATTGAAATTAATTTTTATTTTATAAATATAAAAGTAACTTTTTATAATATGTTTTTATTTATTAATTTCAGGTGGCATGGTCCTAGCTTTTGGTATAGTTGCAGTCGGATTTGTTGGATACCGGTTCTTCTATTTGGGACGTGGAGGTGCCTACCATACTTTGTGAACATTGATAATCTGATCAAATTATAAAAAATATAATATTTTTTTTATATATAGGGCTATTTAATTCAAAAACCTATATAATTGTAAAAATATTTTACTGATTAATTATTTAAAAAATAGAGCACCCTTTCTCAAAATTCAGTGCTCATTATTTATTTTTTAGTGGCATATTTAAATGCTTCATACAAAATTAGGAATTTGGAAATCCATCGTAGATATTAGTATTGTTTATTCAGTTCATATTTGTTTTATTTTTTTTTTTTTAAATAATGAATAGTCAACATTTGACAAACTGTTCTTATTCAATTTATTTTGGTGATAACTAATGTAAAATTATTTTTTAAGTATTTTTTTATATAATTAAACGCTGTAAAGATAATTTTGTCTTTTGTTTAAAACTATGTTTCATGTGGGTTTTATATCCATGTATTAATTCATAAGGGGAAGCCATATAATATATTATAAGGGTGAAGTAAATCAAAAATGATTTTATTTTATAAATTATATTAAATAGGAATGTTTTACTCTACACAAAATGGCATATTCCGCTGAACATGATTATTATGCTAGTGATGAAGCAGATAAATTATCTACCAAATAATAGATAAAAAGTTCAAATGGGTTAAACCTAATTGTGTAAGGAAAATTATTTGAATGACATTATTTTCTTTTCAGTAATTTATTAGCTGTTTGATAGTAAAGCCTTGGCATATATTAAGTGTAGTAGAGTTGTTTGTAGATAATAATTATATAGATTCTAATTTAAAATGATACAATGTTAGCAATCAAATTAAAAATTATAACTAATTTATATATAAAAAATATTATAATTTGTTAACTTATAAGTGTAAAGTGTTAATAGTTATGTATGACCAAATAGGTACCTACTTGAGTAGTTTGTACTATTTAAATTTTGAGTTTATTCTAATTTATCCCTATAGGTTATACAAATATTGAAATATACACTATACATATTATTATAACTTATGGTAATATAGGTAACGTCCATAAATTTAAAATTGTAGGTATGTTTCATGATGGGAAGAACTCAAGACCCGATATTAGACTATAATCCTAGTTCAGAAGCTTAATTTATCACCATGAGAATAGGAGAACATTGACTGTATTATAGTTTTTATTTTAGATTCTGAGTGGAGTGTAAATGTGTTCGATAGGAAAGTGAATCTATTTGGTGCATTGGAGAGGTCAAAATTTAGGAAGCATTTAAAGTTCGAATTTTGTCAAAAATTAATAATTATTTTGTAATTAAAAATTTATAAAATGGTCAACTTTTATAGCTAAGGATTGAAAATTTAAAACAAGGTTCCACATAAATGGGTTATATGTATATAAATTACTTTGCTTACAATAATATATTAATATCATTAAACATACTTAGTAATATCATAGGCTGATGACCGTCCTTGCTCAGAATCGTTTTTCTTATGCAATGATATTATATTACTGAATTCAAATTTAACACGATCCATTACAGTGACCCACTTACCTGTCTATTTTGGAACCTCGGATTTTCTTGAATAATCGTTATTGAGTCAGTATTGAAAATGATCTCTCAGCTAAGGCCACAGTTATCAGTTACTGGAATTGGAAGAAATATTAAACATTACTACATCAGGAAAACTACAAGCCACAGCACCTGCAGGTCATTTTTAATTGTGACATTTATTAAGTCTCATAATATCAGATATATCTGGATCAACTAATGTTTTAACTTTTAGTCAGAATTTATACCATAGAGTAGTCATAATATGAGGATTTGATTTTTCAGAAATGTTTAATTGTAATTTAATAGATTACGAAATTGAAACGTAATCACCATTTCATTCAATCCAGTAAATCTATTGTGTAATTGTAACAAGTATTGACATTTAGCAAGTTGCCAGTTTGCCAGTTTAAAATGTTAACTGGGTATAGGCCCATACATATTATATAGTTACCTTACAACAAATGGCATTATCATTATTCTACTAATAACATTTGACATTTTGACGTTTCATTATTTCAAATGAGTGTCTTTATAATAAATACCTAGTTAATATGTTCCACCGTATAAACCATATAAATATAATCATAGAACAATATTGTAGATACACAAAACAACTACTTCAAGTTGATACTAGATAAGATAGCACCTATATCTTGTAAAGTACATACCTAGGTTCTCATGACATTTTTTAAAATAGAAAGATACCTATAGCAACATATATTTCTTATTTAGAAACAGGTAGGGGCAGCGTTTTCATCTGGGTTTATAAGCAAATTTTCACGATTGCATATATTTATAAATATTATGTACCTACCTATATACAGGCCAAGCGTATAAATAACGACTTTCTTTTCCAACTTATTTGTATTAGGTAGTTGTAACTTGTAAGTACCTATACCTACAAGTATACTGTAAAATTGAACTTCTACTGAAAAATATTGGTTAATACATTTTTTATCAATCATGTTTGTGTATTTGCATAGGTAAACTTATTTTTTTTTAACCTTGTGAGTTGTAATTTATTGTAATATTATTTAATGATTGTGACGAAATAATAGATTAAAAAGAACACGAAAGATTTAAATTAAGTTATAATATTTATAGTACGCCAACACCATCGTCCATCGTCTATCACCCATACACAAAAATGTTCGAAGTGCCTCAACTCAAAAGTTACAACCATCCATATATGGTCAAACAAGAAAAGCATTTTGAATGAGAATTGAGAACTATTAAATTATACCTACTCAACGACAACTTCTTTAGGAGAAGAACAATAAACATCAATAGGTACATCATGTTTGTTGATCACGTAACAACATCAATTTCAATTTCTTTTTATATATGAAATCCATATCATTTAAATTTATTCATTCCCAACTGAAATAATAATTTTAAAACACGTGGACATATTTTATGTAACATTGGGGTGTGTATTGTATCATGCTTAATTTATAAACATAAACATTATTGATATTAAAACTAATAACTAGGTTAAGAAAACATTTAGGTATGCAATATTATGTAAAAACATTTAATTGATATTTAGTCTTAGTCAGTAGGTTTTAGTAAAATTAAACTAGATGTAGCAAAATAAAACTAGGTTAAGTAATAATATATGATAGTGATACCTGGGACTGGTTAATATTTATGATGGGAGTTCTTTAGCAGTGATCTATTGTTGCACTGTATAGAATAAAAAAACAATAAAATGTTCTATATTTATATTTTAATTGTGTGTTTAATAGTTTAGGTCTACCCGTCGGATGTGATCGGCGTATACAACAACCAGTAAAAAAAATAGTAAATTCTAACTAGATTTTTCTTTAAAAAGCAGATTTCCGAAACAGGAGAACGGATTTTGTTGTTTAGGGTCTTGTTAGAATCACATTGGGTAGGAGAAGTGCAGTTAAGATTATTAGACCTTTATCTTTAATAGTTCATACCATAGACCTATTAAGATCTTTATAGGTCTATGGTTCATACACCATACAGACCTTTAACGTTGTACAACATAGAAAAAGGCGCGCGCGCGCCCGCGCACACACACACACACACACACACACACCCACAAACAGTCACGTACGCATTACGATATCATTAGATATAAGAACAGCTAGGTAAGTACTAAAGGTGAAAATGTTACGAGGGCTAAAAAGTACGAGGTGAGTTCCATAAGAATAGTACAAGTGTAAAACTAAAATATGTATTATAAAAAGGGTAAAAAATACTAAAAATGTTATAAACGGACCACAATATATACTATTACATATTATACACCTACTTGAAAAAAATGCGTTTCCGTTCAGAGCCATTTCGAGCATTGCCTTAAAAGGCTTAAATACAATTCGGGAATATGTTTCCTAAGCCCCTCTCCAATTTGCGCCTATGATATTACTGGTACCTATATAGTCGCATGAATATAGAATATTATTTTAATTTTCGTGAGAATCTTGCTGTTTTATTAACATATAATTAATAATATATAACTATTTTGTTTTAATGTCACGATTTAATGCAACTTAGGTACCGTAATCATTGTAATAGAAAAATATAAAATATTCTTACAAATTACATAATATTAGTATTAGGTATATTATACCTACCCATTAAGCTGACATGCCGTGTCCACTCAGAATCGGTTTTTGTACACACAAAATGATTTATCACCGAATTCAAATTTAACACATCCATTACACATGGATTACAGTGACCTACTCAATGAATCACTCGACAGTCGACACCTACAATAAACGGACTTTAAAGAGCAGAGCTAGTTCCCCGCGGGTCGTCAATGATTAATATATATACAGATTAAATATTGTATTTATTAATTTTGATCCTTTTTTTTTTTTGGACATTAATTGTTGTCCTAATCTGAAAAACGGTCGTTTGTTATAATAGTTATGACTAACTTGGAAACCATCGGAGGCTCATCAATGCAGCGGGTGGTTTAAATTCTATTTTTTCACTAATCACTGCTGCAGTGGTAGTTATAGGCATTAATATTATTAAAAAAAATACATATAGACATAGGTGCTTATTGTCACGTACAGGTATATGTAAAGGTAGGTAGGCATTGTTAATAAATATACGTAGGTATGTAGCCACCATAATAATATGATTGATGTGTTTTAATTAAGTTTTAACCGCAGTTGGTTAAAATTATTTACGGCTTACGGTATACGTAATTACAATCTTCCGCACGGCGGCAGGTAAATAGGTGTGTACACATCTTTTATTATAATTAACAGGTAGGCATACCTCTGTAGTGGGTTGTGGGTATATCATAATGTGCAGTGTATATATGTGTATAATAATAATAATTAAATATAATATTGAGTGTATGATATTACTACTGGTACCTACTTATACTTGTAATATTTAGGTAGGTAATGTCCGCGGAAAATGGGCGTTTGTGCATCCATATTTTAACAATTTAGACTCACCTTTATATTTTTTTTAGAACCCATACGAAAAGATTGATTTTAATG